AATTGATTAATTAATTAAAGGATATATTAGTAATATGGCTTCACACCCTAATATAAAACTCACCTACCACCATCGTTCACACTCGCTACTGTCTCTCGTCTTTCCTCTCTTTCTACAGAAACCGTCTCTTCTCTCTTCCCTCTCTCACCACGAATTGCCTCTGCCTACGGAGCGGTGACAACAACATCGACAAGGCACTGAAAGAGACATTGGATGGAAGCAAGCGCCGACTGGAGAGGAAGGGTTGTCGTTGATGGCGAAGGAGGAAGGCGACGAAGATAGCGATGGAGGCAGGCGGTGATGAGAGAAAAATATCATCAATGGTGCGACGCCCTCGTCTCTTTCTCCTTTGTCTGTGTCGTCATCGGCATAGAAAACCCTTTCATTCCCAATTTGGCTTCCCCATATGCTCGCAAATATCCCGTACAACGAATCTGGAGTCACTGTCGATCAAATATGAAAACAGATGTTAGGAGCAAGCTCTTGTGAAGGGAGCAACGTGATTCATCTCAGCATGTGTCTTTGTGACATTTTGGAGGCGGGGACGATTGCTGAGGTGGGCTGATGTTTTCTCGACTGCATGCGAGTATGTGACAACGTGGTGGGGTGGGCCAAATTGGTGGGAACGTGCAAGTCAGGGAGCAAAGAAACTTTGTTTTTTAACATTTGTAGTAGGTAGTAGTTATTTTTTTTATAATGGTGATGATTTATTGAAAAAGAGGGAAACAACCCTACAAAGGCAAAGGTTCAAAAGGCATGAAAGAACGGTGAAATTGAACAAGCCTTCAACACAATCAAGAGGAGCAGAAGATAGGGCTGGACATTCGGGGTCGTTTTTATGGGTAATCCAGAATCAGACCGAAATTTCTGGGTTTTGGGTACCCAGGAACCGACATATCATAGTGAAAAATGGGTCTTGGTATCGTATGTGGCTGTTTTTCGGGTTTTGGGTAAACCGAACCTGGACCCGAAAATAACAGGACCCGAAGTGGAATCGCTCCTCAATCCACAGGGCCAATTATCATATGGCCCAGCCACATATATGGGCCAGCCCAGCCTTCAGGCCCCAAGGGCCATGCCCAGCCGATTCGGCCCCCTCAACCACAAACCCTAAGTCTTCAGCAGCCGCCAGCCAGCAATGAGAAGACAGCAAAACCCTTCATTTTCGTTTCCCACTTCCCTCTCGCAGAGACACAGACAAAATCCTTCCTTCCTTTCCTTCGGCTTCCACCACCAAATCGCCGACTGTCATCCTTCGTATGATTATTATGGACGAGCTGCCTTTTAGGTATGTTGAGAGAGTACGGTTCAAGAGATTTTCTTGCTGCTTGCCCATAGTTCAGGATTCCTGGGAGGAAGGTTATTAGGGAAGATTGTTTCAAGCTGTTTGTTGAGGAGAGGCTGAAGTTGATAGATTATTTCAAGAATCATTGTGCTGGTCGGGTTTCTTTTACTACATATTGTTGGACATCCTTGCAGAATTTCAACTATTTGTGCTTAACTGCACATTTTATTGGGAGTGACTGGAAGCTTCACAAGAAAGTCATTAGCTTTCGTCTCATTTCCAGCCACAAGGGAGTCGATATTGGTAGTGCAATTGTTGATTCATTGACGAATTGGGGTATGAAGGATGTATTCTCCATCATAGTGGATAATGCCAATGCAAATGACACGACAATTGGTTTTTTTAAGGAGAAACTGATTGGGGTACTTGTGTTAAGGGTGGTGTTTATTTACATATGCGTTGTGTTGCGCATATTGTAAATCTGATTGTCAGTGATGGGTTGGAGGAAATTGGGGTGTCGGTTGTTCGAATCAGGGAGGCAGTAAGGTGGGTTCGTGCTTCACCATCTAGGATGATGAGATTCAAGAATTGTGTGAACTTCCATGGTATCAAGTCGAAGAAAATGGTGATCTTGGACGTTCCAACTAGATGGAATTCCACATATATGATGTTGGAGGTAGCAGAGAAGTTTGAGAAGGCATTTAAGACACTTGCATTGGAGAATTCTGAGTTTGTGTCTGATCTTACCAAGGCCAAGTGATTGGTCCTTCCACTACGGCTGATTGGGAAAGTGGGAGGAATCTGTCCAAGCACTTGAGGTACTTCTACGAGCTCACCTTGCTTGTTTCTGGGACCACGTATGTGACTTCTCACCTTTTTCTAAGGCAACTGTGTGCTGTATTTTTTGAAATTAAACAAATGGAGGAGAGTGAGGAGGAAGAAGTGAAGAATATGGCTCATAGGATGCATGCCAAAGTGTGTAAATATTGGCATGAAAGCGAAGAAGAGAACTCAAGAATGAATAAGTTGTTTTACCTAGCTGTAGTGTTTGATCCAAGGCATAAAATGCATTATCCAGTGTATGCATTGAGGAAGTTGTATGGGGAAACACGAGGTGATGAATTGATTGATGAGTTGAATGGAGAACTCACTACTCTATTCAAATTTTATGAGTGTAGAAGAAACAATGTGGCTGCTACTTCTAAAGAGGGGACTCAAACTGAGGGTTCTTCATTGACAAGGCAGAACTCACTGCCTACTCCCAATGTGCTGGCCACCTCTTTTGATGATGATTATTCAATGACAGAAGCAGCTGCCGAGGCAAGTGAGTTGGAGAGGTACTTGGTTGAATTCCGTGAAGGAGATGGTAAGAATCCCAAGTATGACATCTTGTTGTGGTGGAAGAACAATGTTGTCGGGTATCCAATTTTGAGCGAAATGGCCAAAGATTTACTTTTTGTCCCGATATTAGCTTTAGAGAGTGCTTTCAGTACTGGAGCTCGTGTTTTGGACTCCTTTAGAAGTTCTTTGACTCCCAAAATCGTGGAGGTATTAATCTGCAGTGAAGATTGGATGGCACATTCGAACTTACCACTTGAGGATGAGGATTTGGACGAGATGGAAGAGTTTGAAAAGGGTAAATCTCTACACTACTATCTATTAGTTTTTAGTAATTTGTTCACTTAATTTTCAGAATATTTTACTTTCAATTTACTGCATAAACTGAATGCTTTTTATGCTATGTAATGAATGGAATCAGAGTTTCAAGATATGGTGGTAGCTGTGAATGATGCTTCCCTTGCACAAGAAATTGGAGGGGCTAAATCTAGTGCAGTCCCTTCATCAGTAGGAGAACCAAATGATGAATCTTATGAAGTTTCCAGTGATGAGATTGAGGAGGAGGAGAATGATGAGCAGCAAGTTGATTCTGCCCATGGAGACAACGAGAGGGAGTGAGATGGATTGGATATTTGGATGGAATGGAACTCCAGGAAGTGGAAGACATGATGATCTTTCCATTTGTTGTCTTTATTAGTATAATGTGTGTTTGCTGTTGAAACTTTTAATTTGGGGTTTTCTACTTCCCTTGTTGAACTCAGATGGTGAACTAATGATGAATTGACTTGGGTGTGTTTGTTATGTAACTCTTTTTTGTTTCGTTTTCCATATTCTAGTTTCTTCATATCTGTTTTTTTCTTGAATAAAGCTGTTGTAACAGGTTGTCTTCGGTGGCTTATGAGTATTCGGGTGACCGAACCATACCGAAAAACCGTGACTTTGGGTCTCGGGTATCCAAGAACCAAGTCTGAGTCGGGTCTGGTTCCTCAAACTGACGTTTTTTGGGTCCGGGTACCCGCTTATTTGGGTCCGGGTACTAGGACCCGACCCGATCTCTAGCCCTAGCAGAAGACCATCTAAGGATAGTTTCACATGTAGGTTCATTAACTACAGCACACCCTCTATGGACAGCCATCCAAACTTCTCTAGCAAAATCACATTCAGAAAAGAGGTGATTAGCTGATTCTTCCAAGCTGAAACAAAGCACACAGCGGTTCACAAGCGACCAGCCCCGCTTCTTCAGATTGTCAAGAGTAAGGATTCTGTTGTGAGACAGAGTCCAAAGGAAGAAACAAATTTCATATGGGACAATTGACTTCCAAACCGCTGCTGGTTAATCTTGAACTCCCGAGAAACTCGGTAGTTATATATTAGCAGTAATTGGATGTAGTTATGTGATAGTATTATAATGTGCATTGATTTTATCAAATATTAGTAGTGGTTTAGATAATTATAGGATATTTTTTTGTTGATAATATTTTTTGTTGTTTTTATTAAAAACGGTCAATTGTTCCAAAATAAAAATTGTTAGTCCCCAAAATGGTCCATCACTAATCATTAAAAAAAATTCTACTAGCAATAAAATCACTATTATTAATGCTAATTTAAGTAGTAACAAAATTGATAATATTTTTTGGTTGAAAATGGCTAACAAAAACAAGAGAGAGGAAAGATATTTTGTAGTTTAATGTATTTATTATTTATTATTTTTTAAAATACCAAACAAGTCATTCATTATCAATTTCGGTCACATTAGACTTAAAAGAATGAACGATAATTAGAGTAGTTAGCATGATGCATGGTAGTCATCCCAACCGGCATGCCACCGATTAAAAATGGTTCAATCATTATCGGTTATAAAATCGGCGTGAGCACAACCGGTATGACCGGCATGATCGATTGATGATCTCTAAACAAAATGACATATTTTTAGTAAATTTCATTAATAACAAATTAAGTTAACATTTATTTTATTAGTTTAAAAGTTCAATAAATATTGACGTTATTTGTTGGATTCAAGTATAAAAGTTTTGGTATTGACGTTAAATATTGTTTTTAAATATGATTATTTTTAATTTTATGAAGAATGTCACGTTTTAGTTAAATATCAATATGAACTGTAAGTATATCTTCAAATATGTTTTATATATAATTAAATTCACTTACGGTTAAAAAATTTCACATTTTTACATATTTTGTTAAACAGGTATAAATCTATACATACCGTTGTACTACTGATCGAACCATTCTACTTGGTAAATCGACACAATGGTATAAACCGGTTTGACAACTTTGGCATGTTGGTTATTAAAACGAGTACTCTAACTTCTCTCTTAAGTCATCTATCGCCAATAGGACTCGACCAATAGGTCGGCCACTAAAGCTTTATGAATTGTGACTAATATTCTCAGGAAAAGCAATTCTCCTTCGCTCTTAGCAAAGTTCACGCTCTCGAGGCAGTTTGCAAGGTAAGGCCACGATTCCACGAAGCTTGAGAATTCGATTTGTCTGCGTTCTCTTTGCAAGGTAGCTGAAATAACCTCTGCTTAAGGTAGAAAATGGCTGCTAAGGATCTGCCGGTGACGAGGAAGGAGACTGTGAATTTCACATGGAGGATTGAGAATTTCTCACAGCGGAAAGAAACAAATCTTTTCTCTGACACTTTCTTGGCCGGAGGCCGCAAATGGTAACTTGATCAGTTGATCTACTCATGCACTTTCTTGAAAACCCCTAAATCATTGTTCTATACCACTTGAATATTGCTCAATTGGGATCTTCTGGTCCTTCTTTCTCGCTGCTTCTCAATGATTGCAGGAGGATCTCTGTTTTTCCCAAGGGAAATAAGGTCGACTCTCTATCCATATATTTGGAATTTGCTGATTCGGAGAAGATGCCCATCGGATGGAGTGTCCCAGCTGACTTCAGCTTCATTCTTGTCGCCCCATTCGTTCCCTCCTCCTCTGTGCGAAAGTGTAACTATCTCCTCCTGTATAGGATGTTTGAAATGCCGCTTGAATTTCCATGGCCTTCATTCAGTCTTCTGTTTTCTAATTTGGTGTTAGTTCGAGAGTGGTGCTATTTTGTTTGATTGTCAAGGTTGTATGCGAGGACGTGTTTATCCACTTGTCCAATTTCTGTTTATTCTGAGTTAGGATATTGTATTTTCCTTGCAGGTACCATTCACAATTTCAATAGAAAGGAGGATGACTGGGGATTTACAACTTTTGTTCCACTGAGCGAACTTCGTGACCCTCTTAGAGGATTCCTTGTCAATGATACCCTCACTATTGAAACAGAAGTTTCAACTGTTAAGTCGCTCCCAACGAATCGAACTTGATCTAATTCCTCAGTCTTTGGATCTTTCTATGTGTTTGATATCTGGGCTGCTTGCAGGAAGCGGCGGCATTACCTGCAACTGATGAATTGAAAGTGATCGAGGCCGATGATCAACCTGTTGGTGAAGACATCAAAGAATCATTGACTGAGACTAGTCTGATGGCAAGCCAGGCGACATTGGTGAACCCTCACACTTATTCCCTAAAGTTCCTTCCGGACAGCACAAACATTGAACCTTCCATTTACTTTTTACTTATGGTTTCCACGGGCATTTTGGTTCAGGTTGATAAACCTTCCGAGCTAAATGGAGCTGGGGGGAGTACCTTCCCTCCCTCAAGTGCACAGTTATATTCCAGAGATATTATAGCAGAACTGTCAACTGTGATTGGCAGTGCTGCCAACTCTTCTACAAATGCAGACCATGATTCTGGTTTGCTGCTAGAGCAAAGAATGAAATTGGTTGGATTCCTTGCCATGTCACTTGAGGCCATATCTCAAGCTGGATCGTTGAAGGATGTTGAGGACACTGCCCTCCAACTTGCTGACCGTGCAACTGAACCACTTGAGAAAACAGTCCTGGAATACGTGGTCTCAAACCTTGCCAAGTTTAGAGAGGTCATCCCTAGCTCTCTATCAACTATTGAAACTAGCCGAGTTGTCGAATCATCTGCAGCCCAGGCGACCAAGGATCTGGAAGTAAGGCTGGTTCACAGGAAGGGGCAGCTAAGCTCTTTGGAGGCTGAATTTTCAAGACTTGGAGAAGAAGGCACGAAACTGGAGGCCGAAATTCAGCAGTTACTTGCCCGCAAGGCCAAAATTATCGATCATAGAAATTCAACTGCTGCCGATTTGGAGAAAGCCACCCAAGAGGCTTCCCAAGAACTGGAAGAGCTGAAGAAGCAACGTGGAGAAAGCAAACAAGCCATCGAGGATAGGATGAGAGCCGAAGAGAGACTTGCTCAGTCCAATGCAAGTTGGAAGCTTTTGAAGGAGCACTTAGGCTGGTAATAGTAGTAGCAGTAGCAATAGTCCATTCTTCCTCTGATGGATGATGGAGGCCTGTCTTCGGCTTGCAAGATAGGATCGTTTTGGGGGTGCAGTGCAACTTAACGAAGTTATGTATGAAATGTAAATTTGGTACCCCTGCTCTCTTAAGTCCATATAAGGTTATGGGTTTTATGAACGCCGAGGCGGATTTATCGTCCTATTGTTTAAAATGCTAGTGATTTCAAGTCCGAGTGACCTGTAGAAGCCTTTCCACTTACACATTTCTGCGTTTCAGTTGAGCAAAAACGTGTACCCCTGGCCAGAATAGCGGAGATTCCACAACTCATTTCTTTCTTTTTTTCATTTCCTTCTTCCACAGCTCACTACAAAGCTTTTCGAGGTCAAACCAAACGGATTAGAGGACGCCAAGAGGAAACAGCCAAAAGGCACAATTGATGAAGAAGGCCCGAAGCAAAGCAAGCCAAGAAAAGAATCAGAAGGTAATTGATGAATTCAGTTCCGGTAGTCTACAGAGCATCTCTTCAGAATAGCGGAGATTTAATTCCTTCAAATCTTCTCCCTCGCAAGGTGCCTGCCTGGTACTAGAGTCACAGCGCCGGAGCAGCCCTTACCCCCTGTGCAAGAAATTTGATGGCTGAACTTCAGAAACCGAGGCATGTAATTCAGAACTGGTACATGCAAGAGAAATGCTGGTGAAGTTCTTCAACGTGCCCGCTCGAAGCCACCCACCAAACCAGTTCCTTCGGCAATGTCGAGAGAATCATCCCTCAAATCATTGACCACACAAGCGATCCTATACTGCGGATAGTTCTGAAGGACCTCTCTTCTGCTGCCCCTCGGAGAACTGGAAGCAAGTCTGATTCACAGACGGGACCACCTCAGTGCTTTAGAGGCTGAAGTCACAAGGCTTTCCAAAGAAGAGAGATGAAGCTGGAAAGCCAAATTGAACACTTGGCTGCTCGGAAAATGCCGGCGAGACAGGTCCTTGGAACTGGGAGAGTGGTGGAAACCAGATGGTGAACTGAAGCAAGCCATCAAGAATCGAGTGAAGGGAAAGGAGGAACTAGCTCTGGCTAATATAAGCTGGAGGACTTTCAAGGAGAACTTTTTTTTTTTTTTTTTTTTGCCATAGATAGGGAAGGTTATAGATATTACAGGACGCTAGACAACCAGACGCGACAGTCGACACAATATCGAACTGTCGATGAAAGGGCATAAGAAGCCACTAAGTGGGCAGCTCTGTTGTACAACCTCGGCGTAAACGTACAAACAAAGAAATTAAAAGACTCGGAGGCCAAACAAATCTCTTCCAAGATCCCTCCACATGACCCATGCGCCACATCCCGAGATTGAATCCTGCGAATCAAAGACTGGCAGTCTCCACAGAAATTGGCAAACTTAAACCCATGCAAAAAACACCAATTAATCGCATCACGTAAGGCTAAAGCTTCATAAATAAATGGATCAGAAACACCTGGATAAAATTGCCCAAACGCGAACAGCACCTGCCCCTCAGGGGTAAAGCCAACAAAACCTGCACCACCGCCGACTACCCGCTTGCAAGCTCCATCAAACCGGACCAAAATCCCTTCAACTGGACATTCCCGTGCAGTTTGCATCCGACTCAATCTCTGCCCAGCCTGTGCAGCGGCAGCCGAGGCCCCATCAAGGCCCCTGCGCAGTGTCAATGGCGCGGTTGCAAGCCTCTACTCCTCTGACTGTGCCCGGAATTGGCGGAGTAGGGCAGGCCCTAAGTACTGAACGTGCTTGTGTACAGCCCACAACGGGATTTCCAAACTCGCCAACATAGAAAAACAACATCAGCCATCTCAGGTTTGGATAAGTTGCAGGAAAAGAATAGAGCAATCCAACACTCCGAAAAGGATAAACTAACCAGTCTGCGATGCAGATTCCCCAATCCAGCGAGCTCCCACAAATCTGTTGTCACACGACATTGGAGAAAAGTGTGTGTTAGAGTTTCCGCCCCTTCCGTGCAGATTGGGCATGTAGCATCCGTGACCAGACGCTTCCCCTGTAGTACCGCACATACTGGAAGGAAGCCCCGAACTAGCCGCCACCAGAAGAATTTAAGCTTGGGAGGTACCTGCAAGCCCCAAAGCACCTTCCAAAACCTGCTGTCATAAGGCAACGGGGAAGGAGGATGAAGTGCAAGCAATTCATTAGAAAGCATGTGGTAACTCGTCTTGACAGTATATTCCCCGCTTGGTGAATACTGCCAGATCCGTTTGTCCGGCTGCGCCTGAACCGCAAGGGGAATGGACATGATCAAAGCTACCGAACATGGCTGAAACAGACTTCCAAGCAGCTACAAGTTCCATGAACGAGAGACGGGACAAATTAGTTCATAGACAAATATAGGACAAGCCGAAACATGCTGAAGTAGCAGAGGGGAGGAATGAGGGTTAGACGGCAGCCACTTATCTGCGAGAACTTGAACGGTAGTCTCGTCACCAATCTGCCACCGCAGGCCCCTATGGATGAGATCCCGCCCAGCTAAAATGCCCTGCCAAGCCCAAGAAGGCCGAGGACCGGGTTGTGGGTCCAGGAAAGAGGTGTGAGGGTGGTACCTGGCCCGATACATTTCCGCCAGCGTAGAATCTGGATTGATCAGGACCCGCCAGGCTTGTTTGGCTAGTAGAGCAACGTTGAAGTGATCAAAGTCTCGGAAGCAAAGGCCCCCTTCGAATTTGCTCAGGCACACCTCTTGCCACGATAGCCAATGCATGCCAACCTCCTTGTCTTGGCCAGACCACCAAAACCGCGAGAGTTGACCGTTTAACCTGCGACAAGTAAAAGCTGGCAATCGAAAAGCAGACATAGCATAAATAGAGGAGGCCGAACCTATGGATTTGATCACTGTTTCCTTGGCCGCCAGGGACATACATTTTGATTTCCAAGAATGAATGCGACTAGCCAACCCCTCCTCAACAAACCTGAAGGTTTGAGTCTTTGACCTCTGCATATGAACCGGGAGCCCTAAATACTTATCCTGCATTTGAGAATCAGCCACCCCCAGGCAAGCTCCCAAAGCTGCCCGATCCTGGTCAGAAACATTAGAACTCACCGACATGGACGACTTGGACAGGTTTACTCGGTGCCCACTCACCCGGCCAAGCTCGTCCAAAATAGACAGCAAAGCATTACATTCTGGTAAGGAAGCACGGAGGAAAAGGTAGATGTCATCAGCAAATAATAGATGGGAAGTCATAGGAGCAAACCGATGAACACGCAAACCATGCAATGAGGCATATCTTAGCCGAAAAGGCCTCTGAGAAAATAGCATAGAGAAGGGGCGAGAGGGGATCACCTTGTCGCAAACCACGCTGGGGCCTAAAGTACCCATGAGGGTGACCATTGATCAAAACCGAGAAGGATACCGTGGAAATACATGCATTGATCCAACGGCGCCACTCATAGCAGAACCCCAGCTGCTCCATGATCAGCAACAAAAACGACCATTCGACCCGGCCGTAAGCTTTTTCCATATCGAGTTTAAGCGCCATTCACTTGTCGCGACCCTGCACCTTAGTTTTCAAGAATTGCATAACTTCTTGGCAAATTAAAACATTGCCAGTAATGGACCGACCACGTACAAAGCCATTTTGAGTGGGGCTAACAACATCTGGAAGAATCACACTTAACCTAGCTGCCAAAATTTTTTCTATGATTTTGTAGAATACCTGGCACAAACCTATTGGTCGAATTTGGCGCATTGTGTCGGCATTGAGAACCTTCGGCAGCAAGGAGATTAGTGTATGGTTGAAGCTGTGAAGGAGTCGGCCAGTGCGGAAGAAGCTGAGAACTGCTTCTGTGATAAGAGCTCCTACCACCTCCCAATTGGCTTGGAAAAAGGCAGCTAAAAACCCATCCGATCCTGGGGCTTGATGACTCCCAATCCGGAAGACCGCTTCTTCACTTCCAGAGCTTAGACGGGTGCTATTAGGCGATCATTCATCTCCCTAGTCACACGGGTGGACAGTCCCAGAGACTCGACATAGGCTGCAGCATCCACATCGTTAGAGGTAAAGATGGATTCATAAAAGGAAACAGCTATACCTGCCATAGCATCCTCCTCATGATGAAGGGTACCAGAGTCATCCTTTAGCCCTCGTAAGCGGTTGAACCGACGACGTTGCATGACCGCGCGGTGGAAGAGATTAGTATTAGCATCCCCCTCCCGTAGCCAGCCAACCCGGGATTTCTGACGCCAAAAACACTCCTCCTCCATGAATGTCGTCGAAAGAGAATGTTCCAGCTGCTGGATAGCATCCTAATCAACCACCTCTGCCTCTCGAAGATCCAGAATCGCTGCCTTGAGTTCTCTAATTTGCCGAGCCGAATTAGAGGTACCTAATTTAGCCCATTCCACTAAGTCATGACGCGCAATTTTAAGCTGGGTAAACGCCCTGAACTGCACTGAGCCACAGGTCGGTTTGGCCCACGCCGCCCGGATAATATCCAGTGCCTCATCATTGGAGTTCCAGCGCCCATCAAACTGAAATTGGGTGTGCCGATGATGACCCTGTTTAATGAGCTGCACAAGGAGGATACGATGATCAGATCCTAAGTCCGATAAATGAATTACCTTTAGGTCCGACCAGTCCGTCATCGTCGATGTACTCCCGAGGCACCTATCCAACCTCTCTAGAATATGATCCCCCGGCTCGCCGATTTGACCAAGTGAAGGGAGACCCATGAAAGCCTAAGTCAAAGAGTCCGGTGGATAAAATGAACTCGTTGAGGTGCTCTAGGGCAGCCATCGACGGAACATTACCCCCCCCCCCCCTTCTCCGCCGAGGACAGGATGCAATTAAAGTCACCTACAACAAAGGCTGGTAAGGACACCAAAAAACCAAAGAAGCAATTTCATTAAGCTGAGAAAGCCTAGTTGTAGCATCACACGAGAGGTGTACAAAGAAAATGACAAAGTGACCTACTGGTGGAACAAGACACTCCACAAAACAAAGAAAAGAAGAAAGCTTGTGAACTGTACAGGACACATGATCCCCCCAAGCTACTGCTAACCCACCACTACCTTGAAAAGCACTAAAACATCTAACCGATTTGAATCCAAGCCTAGAAAATTTGTCATTAACAAACTCATCCTCATGCTTGGTTTCACTAAGAAAGACTAGGCTAGGCAAGAATCTCGAAACGGCTCCACCAAGCACGGGAACAGTCAAGGGGGAGCCCATCCCTCGACAGTTCCACACCATGAAGCTCATGGATCGAACTGGGCCCAGTTGAGGCTGGAGGCCGCCACCTAACTAGTATCTTGCGCGTTCGTCGCCACCACCTGGCTGGATCGGGCACGCTTAGCAGTTGGAGACGCTGAGGCCGGGACAAATCCATCACCCATGGCCATGTCCGCCACCGGGGTTGAAGCAAAGGCAGGCTGGTGACCTGCTTTGGAAGGAAGAAGCGAGAGCCCCTGGAAGCTGTCTCCCATGGCCGTAGACCGGGGCCTCCGATTATCCAGCCACACATCCCCGGCACCAGCTTCCTGGACTGTCAGCAACCGGGTAAGAGCCAGGCAAGGGGCGGGTTCCTTGAAACTGCCACTTGGTCTGGGCGTTGTCGGGCGCTTCGCGGCTGCACGAATCCAAGTGAAGCGTCGACGGCGATTCTACAGAGTAGCCTCCGAGATAGGAGGACCCAAATCCAATTGGATTTGGTGGATTCATAGATCAATCCATGGATCCAAATGTCAAATTACGATTTGGTACCTATATTTTTTATATTTACACTTTAGTACCTAAAATTTATATTTTTATACGCAAATATCATTGGAAAATTACATTCTGGTACCTAAAATTTTTCATTATGGCATTTTAGTACCAAAACTTTTGAAATTTTACATTTTGGTCCAAGCTTTGGATGTCATTTGGATTCATGGATCAATCCACCAATCCCTTTGATCCAATCCATGAATCCACCAATCCATTGGATCCATGGATCCACCAATCCAATCCACCAATCCACGAATCCGATCTAATTGCCACCTCTAAAGGTCATAGTTAAGGGTGTGCATAGTTCGATACTGTCTAGAACTGGATCGAATTGACTTAGGATCGGACAAAAAATAAAGGGAAAATTAGGACAAAAATCAGATCAAAAGCATGTTTGATTCATTTAGATCAATATGTTTGAGTCCAAATTCAATTTCAGTCTATTTCTTCTTCATGTTTAGAATAATTTAAAGGGCAAATATCAATACAATACCAGAACTATCTGAAAAATGCCACATGTGTCCTATGTTATTCAATATTTCATTTCTACCCTGAACTATATGAATTTGTGACATTTGTGTCATGGTGTTTTACGTTGACCGTTAGAGATAACTGTCGACCGGACGGAAGTCAAACTATTGTTGACTTTCGTAGATGTGGCAGACAAGTGACATACATGTAGATGCCACGTCATTGACATGTCATTATTTAATCAAAATTAAATTATACTAAATATAATAAGAAATATACAAAATTCTTAGAAAATTAAAATAGTTAAAATTAATTATTGGTTCAGCCCACCCCAATCTCCGGTCGTGGAAGAATCCATCGATATCATTCCCCCTTCGCTGGCTCTACCTCACCATTCTCAGCAACGTTGTCGCCTACCACCTCCCCGCCAGCTTCATCTCTCCCATTTCCATTTAGTTCCACCAAATAGCGGGATGGTTAAGATGGAAGCTGACGAGCATAGTAAGACAGAAAGAGAAGTGACGACGGCGAAAGGTTTCACGGGAGGAGGCGGAAGGTTCCCCTTTGTAAAGAGCCGATGTCGTTTCTGTTTGGCGACTTCGGCTTCCAGATCCAAGTGTGCTTATAATCGCTGCGGTCTTTGACTTGGAAATGGAAACCTGGTGGAGCTTCTACCATTTTTTCGAAGAACCTTAATTTTGCCAAAATAAAATTCGTTCAATTCAACTCAAAATCGGAGATTGAAATCATAAATAAAGCATGGTAATACAATCTGGAGTGGGAAGAGGTTGTCAAATGGCCTTGATTTGGAGTTTTATCGAATGAGGGGAGATTGGAGCAAAAACCAATTCTCTATCGCCAATGTTAAACAAGGGAAGTTATACGTACCAAGTCAGGAGGGAGACCGATAGTGGTTTTGCGAACGGGATGCATGGGTTAGGAGTAGGGGTGTTCAAACGGTTTGGTTACCGTGGTAATCGTTTTAACCAATATTATTTTGATAATTTGGTTTGGTTAATTTGAATAATTGGTTTGGTTTGGTTAAAGTTTTTAGCTTGTTTGGTTTAGGTGGTTTGGTTTGGTTTGGTTTCAGACACTCCTAACCAGTCAAACCAAATTAACCAGTTAATTAATTAGTCATATATCTAGCATATATTATATACACATACTTAATACTTTGCATAACAACTCAAGAGTTAATGTTCATCCCTTTTAGACTCATATAAAATATAAAGCTCAATATTGCTCATATAGTGTATATTTGTATATATAAAGTGTAGACCACAACATATGGACGCATAATTTAGATAAAATTTCATACATTATGATGGATGAAAACTTGAAAGGAAGGTCATTTCTAGCCTATGATAATTGCTAAGAGACTAAGTCAATTTACACAAACACAACAATTCATTAAGCCATACCATTGTCATAAATTTTTGTTAGGTGAATACTTCTATACTAATCGTAAGATAATTGTCTTAGTTGCATGTATTTTTGTTAAGGGTCAACTATAACTACATGTTGATTGTTATGTTTTATTCATTATATAAATTGTGAATTGTTGCATTAACCAGAAAATTTTCATCATCAATGATAATGTGATTTTATATTGGTTAATCTGGTTAACCAATTAACCAAAGCGATTAAACTTTAGTTTGGTTAATTTGGTTGTTGTATTAGTTTGGACGGTTTGGTTATGATATTGTATTCCATGGTTAATGGAATTTAGCCTTATTTGGTTTGGTTATAACCATGGTAACCATTTGAACACCCCTAGTTAGGAGAGAGACCATCGCTTAAGCGGGAAACGAACGACGATGTTCCAGAGGCAAGACAGGAGTAGGGGTCAGGGGAGAGACCGGCGGCGATATTCCAGAATCCAGACGAGAGTAGGGTCAGGGGAGAGATCGACGGCGCGTATGCGGGAGACTGGCGGCGGCATACGCGGGCGGGATACAGGCGTTGAAGATGAGCAAAGGAGGGATCGACGGGACAACGAGGCAGAGAAGGAAAGCGGCGGCGGCAGGGGCGAGCAGGGAGGGAGAGAGAATGTGGGAGGCAGGTGAGGTCGGAAGTGGCCCAAAGTGCTTTTTTTAATGTTATTAAATTAAAATTGAATTTAAAATTTCATGTCATCTGCCACATCAGCGCTAACTAGAATTTTTGTTAAAAACTAACGGTCAACACGGGTCAACTTTAACGGAAAAATAGTTCAGGATATAAATGAAATATTAAAAAGAATTGGACACAAATGACATTTTGTTCATAGTTTGGCTGTTGTAGTGGTATTAGTTCTAATTTAAATGCCCAAAATCAAATCAAAATGTATTCTATCCGGTCCGGTGTGAATTGGACCGTAGTTGTATTGATCTTTTGTATGAATATCCTGGTGGACATTGGCGGGCAACAAAACTCGTTAGGGCGAAGAGAATAGTCACTTTCTGAAACTAGAGCTACTGATAAGTAAAGCGGAAAAAGTGAGTGAACGAAACTTGATACTTTAGGCGAAGAAGTACACAAGAATCAAGCAAGCGGAAAGCAGGTGGGGATCACTCATAACCAAGCATATGCTAATGTTAAGTCATGAAGCAAGCTCTCTGCATAGAGCTCCAGCAGTTTATCCCTTGAAGGCACTGCGAGTGCGAGCTGCTGGTCGAGGGAGAAGTTTCACAAACATTCCTTCAGGATTGCAGGTGCGATTTCAAGTGTTTGATTTTCTCTGTCTTAGATTTTCCATCTTTGGAGCCCTTGTTTGACTTTTAGGGGTTGCCATGGATCCTTTCCTTCAGGAATTTGGTACTTGGAAAATCACTGCTGCTGAACAATGTGGTGGTCGGGATGGTGGTGGACTCTTGTGTTATCGACGACGGCAGCTGTGCTGCTTCCGTTAATCGTCTTCTCCAGGTTTCTGTTCCTCGAGAGGAGGGAATCTGGAAGTGGGAGCTCAAATGTCTCTTCACAATCTGCGCCAACCACACCAGTCAAAGCTTCCGGTTCTGAGCTTAGTCCCGAATCTGCCTCACTGCCTCTTCCCGCTGGAGTGTACGAGGTGTTCGTGAGCTGTACAGGTCCTGAAATTCAGAACCATTTCGGCGATTTCCTCTACAACTACCTGGCTCGTTCGAAAATTCGGACGTTTGGAAACGAGGAGCAGCTTCCCAAAGGCCAGAAGATTGTTCCTGCACTCTTGGATACCATTACTCACTCCAAGCTCTACATTCCGATTCTCTCCAAAGACTATGCTTCCAGCGAATGGCGCCTCAGAGAGCTTGCGAAAATGGTAGAGTGCTGCAAGGTAGGAACGGGGCACCTCATTCTGCCCATCTTCTACTTTGTACAGCCCGCCGAAGTGCAGCATCAAAAGGGTGCTTACTCGGAGGCATTTGAGCTACACAAGAAGGAACATGACGAGGAGACTGTCAACATATGGAAAGCAGCTTTGGAAGAGGTGGGTGCTATTAATAATGGATGGATTGTGACCGCCTCCGATGGGTGAGATTTTCTTATATAGCTCTTATCCATACATTAGCGCTAATATGATTTACATCATGTACCTTTATGTATGTATGCAAGTGCAATTTCTTTGATGGTTATATCTTCCAGTAACATAAGACTGTATCTTTGCGTTTGATATCAAAGTTATTCATGAATGGCATTCTATATCAATATTTAATTTCGCAGGCAGGGAGCAATTGTGGAACAGGTTTACTCAACAGTATGGTCACATCTGAGGCAGGATTATCTATTAATGACCGACGAGCTGGTTGGGATTGAGCAGCATGTGGAGGCAGTGGTAGAATTACTCCATGTAGAAAGTGAAGGAGTCAAAACTGTTGGCATTCATGGAATGGGTGGGATTGGGAAGACCACTATTGCCATGGCTGTCTACAACAAAGTATTCACTTACTTTGATCGCTGTAGCTTTGTGGAAGATATACGAGAAATTTTAGCACAACCTGATGGTGTTGTGACTCTGCAGAAGAAGATTATCTCTAGCATTCTGAATATGAAGAAGGATGACTGTCGTATTAGAGATGCAAGTGAGGGGATATACATGATAAAAGATAGAGTTTGCCAACACAAAGTTCTCATTGTTCTAGATAATGTGGACAATCAATTCGACTTTGGCAAAATCATAGGTAAGCGTGGCGATTTTTCCTCTGGAAGTAGGTTCATTATTACAACAAGGGACAGGAAACTTCTAAATTTGCTTCAAGAATATGAGTTGTATGAGCCTCCAACAATGAATCCTGAAAATTCCCTTCAACTTTTCTGCAAGCACGCGTTGGGAATGGATTCTCCGCCAGAAGATTATGCAATGTTATCTAGGGAGATCGCATCTACTGCAGCAGGGCTTCCGTTGGCTCTTAAGGTAGTAGGTGCAAGTTTATTTGGCGAAGATAAAGCTATCTGGGAAGAAACATTGATTCAACTAAGAGAAACACCACCTGCAGAGGTCCAGGAGAGGCTGAAGATAAGTTTTAAAGCATTAGCATATGAGGAGCAGCAGATCTTTCTTGACATTGCTTGTTTCTTCGCTGGAGAGGACAAAAATACAGCTTCGTATATGTGGAGCGACTGCAAACTCTACCCAGTAATTGGGATTAATGTCCTTGTTCTTAGGTCGTTTATAAAGATTGGAGTCGATGGCGAGATTAGGATGCATGACCAACTTAGAGATCTTGGTAGAGCAATTGTACGAGATGAAAATGTGGAACCCTGGAAACGCAGTAGGTTGTGGTCTAATGAGGAATCCTTGGATGTGCTAAAGCTTAAGAAGGTATCATCTAATTGCTTGCTTTGTGCCAATTCATATTGAATATTATATGTTTTATGAAAGTTGGTGGTGCCATAGACAATATAATTGATCTAAGACTCAACCAATGTGGCAAATATTCTTTTTCTTGGACTTTGAGAGAGTTGCCAACCAAACTATGCTCGAAGTTTTCTTGATTAGAAAGTTAATTCATAGTTTAAATCTGGAGAACTTGGGAACAAATGAATTATGGCTTACAAAACATTGATAGTTTACACAATGTCAAGCCCTTTAACTTGATGGTAGTCAGTGCTCGTTAAGTCGTTATATGAATTCAGCCATTCTAAGCTTTTCCATGATACCTAAACTGTGATCACTGAACAAAATACCTAGAAATGGAGTCAGTGCTCGAATTGTGTAACGGAAACTCAAACTCTAGCCTCTTCTTTTCCAGGGAACAGAGCTGGTTAAAGGATTTAGAGTCAATTTGAAGTTGGAGCCTGCAGATCAACATCAACTGACAAGTGAGCAATTGAATAACTTATCAGACTTGAGATATCTTGCAGCACGTTATGCAGACCTTTGTGGGAACTTCCACGATATTTTTTCAAATTTAAGGTGGCTTGACTTGCGCTACCATCTTGGGAACTCAGGGTTGACAAATTTTCGTCCCGCGAAACTGGTAATTCTCGATTTATCTGGAAGTGGTATCAAAGCTGACTGGGAAGGTTGGGGCAACATTAAGGTGGCTGAAAATCTCAAGGTCCTAAATATCTCCAACTGCAGTAAACTAACAAAGGCTCCTGACCTTTCTGCCCATCGGAATCTCGAGGTGTTAAATCTAGATGGATGTGTTAAGATCGTTCAGGAGTTGGGTGTTAGCGGCTTGAAAAACCTGAAGGTGCTAAAGCTTAACAATTGTGGAATAACAAAGTTAGCTGACAAGATTGGAATGCTTCAGAAGCTTGAACAGATAGAAGCATCATGGTGTCCCAATTTGAAAGAAGTTCCTGATGATATTGGCCAATTAGCCTCTCTGAAGACCTTGATTATGGAATCTCCTCAAATTTTTCACCTACCAGCAAGCATTTCTAAGCTTTCAAGCCTTGAAACCCTTGATTTACAAGGCTGTCTTGAGATTCAAGAACCACCAGAGCTTCCGGCAAGTTTAAAGAAGTTAACCATTACATCTCCTGTTCCCAATCTGTTGGACCTAAAGGAGTTGAAAGAGTTACGCATTGACGAGTCAGGCGAGATTAAAGAGATCCCAAGAAATATATGGATATTGTCCAAGCTGGAGATCATACATCTGTATGCAACTCCTAACATCAAAATTCTACCCTCAGGGGTTGGTGCCCTAACCCAACTTGTGGAACTCAGGCTGAACTCCTGCGAGGGTATTCAGTGCATTGAAGAGCTCCCGCCGTCTCTAAAAATACTTTATATTGGTGGATCTCCACTGTTGCAGAGATTGCCAACTCTAGAAAACCTGCAAAATCTGATCGAGTTGATACTGTCATGCCCCAAGCTACAGGAGATTCCAGGTCTTGGAGAACTGAAACTACTAGTAAATTTGCGCATACATAATGCCTTCAATTTGCATCATCTCAATGGATTTGAGAACCTCACATCTTTGAAAGCCCTGCTAATTGAAAAGTGTCGCTCTATGGAAAATTTGCCAAGTCTGGCAACTCTGAAGAAGCTAAAGAGGCTCGAGATTTGTGAATGCCCCAAGTTCACTGAATTTCAGGGCCTTGAGGAAGTGGAGTCCTTACAATCTCTTATTATTGGGGATTGTATATCCTTTGAATGGTTGCCTAATCTTGAGACTCTGAAGAATTTATCTAGACTGGACATCTATGGATGTCCCCGTCTTACTGAAATCCAAGGCCTCGGCGAGCTCCAGTCGTTGAAGGTTCTGTTCGTTCGAAATTGTGAATCGCTGGAAAGGTTACCTTGTCTGGCTAGTTTGAAGAACATAAGCAGAATCGATATCTGCAAATGTTACTGTCTCACTGAAATCCAAGGCCTGGGTGAATTGGAGTCTCTGGAACATCTTGATTTGAGTGACTGTACATCCCTAGAGAGGTTACCTGATCTATCAACCATGACATTGCTAAAAAAACTGATACTAGATAATTGCGAGAGTCTGTCGAATGTTGAAGGCCTTGAGACTCTTGAATCACTAGAGACACTGAACTTGGGTGACTGTCAGTCGATGAAACGACTGCCATGCCTGTCACAGTTAAGGAAGCTGGAAAAGTTGGTCATGAATGATAGCCTGCATTTACGCGAGATCGAGAGCCTTGAAGGCCTGGAATCGTTGCAGAAACTGGACGTTTCTGGATGTATGGCGCTTGAAACTTTACCAGACCTGTCTGGTCTTAAGAATCTTAAGGAGTTGGACCTCAGTGAATGCGTGAAGCTGACTGAGATCAGGGGACTTGAGGAACTGCAGTCACTTAAAGTGCTGAAGATGAATGATTGCAAATCGATTGAGAAGTTGCCAAATGTCTCACGTCTCAAGAATCTGGATACTCTGCTTCTAAGTGGCTGTAAGAAACTGAGTGAGGTTGTTGGACTAGAAGGATTGAATCTATCGCTTCTCGACATTTCTGGTTGCAGGTTGCTGTCAGGTATACCAGATTTTCCCAACACAAAAGTCCGGAGATAGCAGATGCTCTCCATGAGGAAAAACTCAGTAACTAATGGATATTTCTGCAGTACGATCAGCCCGAATTTCCACTCCGTGCTGACAGCTCACTCTCTCAGGTCACTGCTCACTCATCTGAATCTATCACAGCCGCTGCTGCTCCCCGCAATCATCACATATGGTGAAAAATATTGCAGCTGAGCTCACTGGTTTGGAAGATGAGTAACCAAGCAAAGCCATTCCAAGATCATTCGAAATGAAGCATGATGCTCTAACTTCCACCGAGGACTAGCTATGGCGTTTGTTGGTCGAGACAAATACCATGTGAGCCTTCAAGTGAGATTGCCAATCAGTCTGCGGATTACTAGTCAGCTGACTTTGAGGACCGCCTTCCACGAGGCGATCCTCCCACAGACAGCGCCAGTTTTAGTGAGTTGTCACACGCTTCGACCGGGATCCAGAGAGACTGTGCAGGGCGTTTCTACTAAGCTCCACGACGTGGTCAGCGGCAGGGTAAGGGTGTTAGGATGCTAATGAGGAAGAGGAGTGTGAGGTTAGAGGAGAGTGTTGGGGAAGGCCTTGATATCCCAGCATTCTAGCTTGGGTAGTGATTCTAGGACGTATAACTACTAAGGAGTAGTTGATTCCTTGGGGTAAACATGTTTCCCCTGATTGTATGTTGTGCAGAGGGGGATAAGAGACAAGACAGCATTTGTTTTTTTGCTTGTCCCTACTCCCATAAGTTTAGGGGTCAAGCCGATTGGCAATGGGGACTGGGAACTTAACTTGGCTGCTGCAAGTCGACTAGCAAAAAGATTATGGTGCCTTGTAGTGAGTGAGTTATGGAAGGAACGTTGCACAAGATTATATGGAAGTGGAATGCAAACTGAAAATGGCTAGGCTGACTCTATTGGTCACAACTTGCAGGGACTTAAGGAGCTGAAACTTGAAAGAGAGCTTATCTGCTGATCTTGGTAATTCAGGGTTGCAGGTTTAGATTTTTGTTTTTCGCTATATTGTAAAAAGCAGTATAGGCAGTGGTAGTATATTTGAACTCAAAAGTTGTAAATGTGTGGATGTTTGTCAGCTCACTCTCGGATATCACTCTTGAATATCACGAGCTATCAACATTCAACAGATACACATTCAGCGAGAGAGGAAAAAAGTTAACTCTTTTTCAGATAAAAGTGATATTATAACAATGGCATGGCTACTTGTAAAATGAATTTTCAGATCTAAAAGGAAAGTTAGGCGAGTGAGAGGTATTATAACAATGGAGCTTCCAACATTCTTGGACATGCATAGTGCTCCAAGCATAATGTCATGAGAGTAAGATGTGAGTGGTAGTCACCAAACCTGCTCAACACAATAGACACCAATTTGGAACACCAAAACCTCACTTCTTTCCCTGCAGTTCATCCATTGCTGAAATCTGCTAATATTGCGCCTGCCAAACGTCCATGGATCTTGAGAAGTACCATACATTCCCAAATCTGCTTCTTTGGGAAATAACGTTTGTCCTGGGAATCTCTCCAATGTATTGGCATCTCCATCAAACTCATGCATTAACACCATTCAAAGGAAGATTCATCAAAAACCTGTCTCCAACTGTTACGGGTACAACATTGGTGTCAGTTAGTAACTGGATCAGTTCTTTTACTTCCTCCAAGCAAACTCCTGTCTCCTTTAACTGCCCCAGAAAGTCTTCCAAAGCCCTAGGGTCGGGCCTCCAACCCGACTTAGAACCATTCACAGCTCTCTTCATGGTTTCCATGGCCTTGTAAGTTTGACCAAGTTTGAGGTAACCTATTGCCAGGTTAAGCCAAGAATTTGCATGGGGCTCACCTGCTTTCTTTATTACCCTCTCGACCATTGTTTCTGCCTTTTCCATGAGACCGCTTCTTGAGTAAGCACCAATCAAAATGTTGGGTATACGGACATCATAAGACAAATTCTGGGATTCCCACTCATCAAATATCTTCTCTGCAGTCTCAAAATCTTCCAACTTCAATAGAGAACTTATCACGTCCATATATCCCTTATTGAGAACCTTCCCATTCTTCTTGAAAAGTTCCCAAACTCCCACGACTCTAGATTTCTCCCCCATGGCAGCATAGTTGGTGATGAGGTAATAATAAGCTTGAATGTCCTTTTTCTTTGTGATGAGCCCCTCGGCTTTCTCCAGCATTTCAATTGCCTTCTTCTTCATCCCAGATTTCCTGTAAATGGTTGCTGCATTGTTGTAAACGGCCCAGTCTGGATTGACGTCTGGGTTGGATTTCATCCTTATCAGGATTTGCTCCATTCCATTCACATCAAGAACAGCACCATATGAAGATATTAGTATGTTATAAGTCATTGCATCGAAGGAGATGCCACTATCATCGATTTCCTTGACGAGAGCATCAAATTTCTCTTTGTTTTCAACTCGATGATAAAGACCAAGCATAGTGTTGTAAGTGAGGATCGAGTTGGCAATGCCTAGGTCTCTCATCTTCTGCATGATTTCCTCTGCCTTCTCCACAGACTGAGCACGACAATAACAGTTTACAAGTGCTCCATAAGTATTGATCCCTTCGAGCTGCCCCGATAGTCCATCGAAATACTGTTCTGCTTGTTTTATCCCGTTGACCCTTGCTATCAAGTCGAGTCTCATAGCAGCATCTCTTGATGTGAGGTCGAGGTGCCTTTTGTCTGTCATCCACTTTGAAATCTGCAGCAGGACAAAGAGGCAGGATATCCTTCATAAACTCATGGCACCAATAAGAACCGCATAAAACTACCCAACTAATGTTGGATTGATTCTAATCTGCTGAAGCTTCAAAAGCATTATCATTCCCCGTCAACCAACAAAATCACAACACAAATGGCAGAGTCAGTTGAGCTTCTATTACCCACTACCCAAAAAAAAAAAAAAAAAGACTACCTCGAGGGCGTGATAGTGGCGGCCGTAGTAGCGAAGTTCTTTAATGTAAGAAACGAGTTGTTGCTTCGCAACGGATCTTCCTTCCTCTATCCAGCTATCGAGAATCGGAACGATAGAGACCCTAGGATCTCCCACTGGCGAAATTCGGCGGTATAACTCGTTACCCGATCGATTCGTTGGACTGTTAAAGTTCCGGTTCCGCGCTGCGGCGGAGCTGAAAGAGACATTACGAGGAGACGAAACCGAAGGGGCGACGGTGGATGACAGAGATGTGGCGGCGACCCTGACTAATCGAGAGAAAATCATTTCTGGAAACTTGACGAACGTCGAACAGGGTTTAACAGAGGGTTTAAGGTTGAGAAAGAGAAAGTGATTTCTTTTCCAAATACCCTGCCACTAGACTAGAGAGGGTTTTGCGAAGGGGTACAATCTACTAGGGGGTGGCTATACGGTCCGGTCCGGTTAAATTGGCCCAAATTGATTCGGTCCAGTCCGGTCGTTTTGAAAATATAAGGACCGAAGATTGGATTGGATACAGTCCGGTCTTGATCCGGTCCGGTTTTGATCCGGTTCGGTCCCAATTCGGTCTTGATTTTACATTGAGATTGTGGGATTTGAGTGGCCTAAGGTCTTAAAGGGTGAGGAGTTGGTTAAGTTTTGTACTAAGTGCAAAGGTTTGTGACCGTTTATGCAAATTACCCTTAAGTTTTGGGTGTTGAGCTCTCTTATCCGGTCTTTATCCGGTTTTTTACCTCAAATCTAAGCTCAAAGATTGGATTGGATTGTTTACTATCCGGTCCCGGTCCGGTCTCGGTCCGGTCTCGGTCCGGGTTATACGGTCCGGTTTCCGGTTTTTAATCTGGTCCCGGTCCAAATAGCCACCCCTACAATCTACAATGGATGCCGGAGTATGACTAATGGTTGGGTAGGGATGGCAATGGTTGAGTTGGGTCAAATCATGGTTGTCATGTCGGTGGCATGTCATCCGGTTGAACCTGGTTCAACTTGTGCCGGTCATGAAACCGGCATGACACCACTGGTATGGTCAGTATGATCGACTTACGCATTCTAAGTAAAATGACATCATTTTAATGAGTTTAATGAATAAAAAGAATTAATTTATTATTCATTTCATGAATGTAATAGTTAAAAGTTGATGATATTTGTTGGATTAGAACTAAATTGTCCACAAATATGTTTTATATATGATTAAATACATGAGATATTAATTGTTTTCACATTTTTTTAACCGGCATGAACCGACAGAAACTGGTTATACCACCGGTTGTACCATTCCACTTGCCAAACTGGCACAACAGTATAAACCTGTTTGACAACCTTGATATGAACATACCAATATGGTAAGAAGGTTGAATACATGATAGTAGGAGTATACTAACTGTCATTTATGACTTTCATCATTGTTTACCACAAGTTACCACCCACATACCATAGTGGTAAAGTATGATAATTTTTTGTCTAATATTTTTTTCACCAAGAAATTTGTAGATCCAATAGATCATGTTGAACTCGTTCCTTCTGAGCAAACATTTTCAAACACGACTTAAAAACGAAGAAGTTACCATATGGTATGTAGTTGGTAAAAAAATAGTTTATCGAAATATATTGAAAATTGATCTCAATTTGTAGAGCACAACGAACTCGTTCCATTTGTGCAAAAAAAAAAATTGAAATCCGAGTTAAAACGAAGAAGATAAGAGTCGTTTATGAAAACTAGGGAAAATAAAATGTCTTTAATTGACAACCCTTAGATCTGAATTTTCTTGGCCCACTTAGATCTAAACGTCCAAATTTAGTTACACATAGGTCAGTAACCATTGGTTACTAACCCTATCCTAAGCCGGTGGTGGGCAGGGCTGGCAATGGGTCACGTTGGGTTGGGCCAAATTCAATCTCAAATTTATGAGTTTATCCGTGAAAAAAATAAGGGTAAAATTCATGAGGAATTTTACAATGCTATATAGCATTGGTGCTATAGGTTTTTGTCTTTATGGTACAACTTGAAATTGTACTTTTAACGTTATGGTACAACTTCAAATTGTACCTATACTTTTTGTGCAAATTCTTCTATGATACATCTTGAACTTGTACTTTTATGTGATGGTACAATTTTAAGTTGTAAATTTGTACCATAACATAATTGTACAAATTCTTTTATGGTACAACGTAAACTTATACATTTATTGTTATGGTACAACATAAAGTTGTACATTAAAGCACCAATACTATATAGCATAGTAGAAGTGCTCAAAATTCATTGGGTTTGGAAAACTCAAATCCAATCCAATCCGTTGGATATCTGGGGGTTCGTACCTATGGGTTTTTGCCGTAAAAAATTTACAATAATAAGTTCTTATCAAAATAAAAGTCAAATATCAATCTCACAATATAAATTATTCATATATAAAATACCATTCTAGAAAATTCAATCAAATCACAAATTAACCTTACAAATTGTTCAACACCAAACTAGAAAACTCAAGAAAATTGACGCAAATCACAAATTATTCATAAACAATATTATTAATTGAAATCTTCTTCCTCCTTGTCAATTAAGCTTCTTCACTCTTCACTCCATAATATCAACTTCATTCTATGCAAATAGAAAGAACAAATTAGACATGAATCCACAAACATAAAGAAGATTAGTTGCTTAGAATATTAAATATACGGGGAAAATTAATTATATGGGTATGGGCGGGTATATCTAAACCCAAATCCAACCCAACCCGGTGAATAGTGAACGGATTTAAACCCGACCCGACCCAAAACCCGTCAACATGGGTTTTACCCACTTTGTCTGAGTTGGGTCGAGTAGGGTACACATGGGTTCGGGTTTTGTTGTCATCCTTAGTGGTGGGGCGAGGTTCCGCCCAACAATACTGTGGTTCAGCTTTCATGTTATTTGAAAATAGCAAAGTTGTTAAACCCTATCAAACCATTGGTTGGACCCGTTCCGACCTAAGTTGGGCTTATAAACGGCCTTCAGAAAGCCCTCCAGACCCCTAGAGAGGGAGAAGAAGAGAGAAGAGAAGAAGGGTGATGGTGGGTGGGTCATGGAGGTTATGTAGATTTATTTTGTGTATAATAAGTTTTTAATAGATACATGTAAGATTAATTTCATTTCAGTTATTAAATTTTTAACTACTATCTTATTTGTATATATATTTAGAAAACGTCTTAATCGGTTAAACCCTGATCAGACCATTAAACTTCAAGCTCCTTGTTTGACCGGCTCAATGGTTTAACCCGGTTTGGGAAACCTTGGGAAAAAAAACATATGCAAAATTTATTTTTTAGGATAAAATGAATAAAAAATCACTTTATGATGAAAAGTAGTTAAGATATTTAAATGAAAGATTTCAAACACTGTTTGTTAATGTCCACTGTCCAGTCAGAGGAAAAAAAATTCAATTAATTATATTCTTTGAGGTTGATTGCTACCGTTTTCTCTTATTTTATTTATTATTTAATGAATGGCATTTGTGTAATTTAATGGAACTTTAGGATCTGTTTTGTTCTTGATTTTAACTTTCCTCATCTCTTTTATTTTCTCTCCCGTAACTCCATCCACCCATCTCAATCTCAAATTAGGGTTACTATTTGCCGCCCGTCTCTTTACTATTTATCGCCCGTAAATTAAACTAAAATGACATTTTTACCCTTTGTTCATTTTTTATAAAACAAATCTCATTCCACCATAACACCAGCGACCACCACTGCGGCCGACAATAGACCACCGCCGGCCCGGCAGCTCCTGCTGCCGCCGGCGCCAGTCCACCACCGCCGTCAAATCGCCGGCGTCGCCACCACCGCCAGATCACCACCGCGGCCAGCACCAAATCATCATAGCCGGCGGGAGGACCCCGTCCGACGCCGGCGAGCGGACCGTGCATTAGCGACGGTTTCAAAAACGTCACAAAATTCGTGGCTAAATGATAATAATTATTTAACTCAATCTTCTATTTTTTTAATTATTATATCATGTTAATAATTATATGTATGTTTATTAATTATATTTATGAATTAGAAAAACTACAAATTATTCATAAAAAAAAAATTAAATTATAAAAAATATTATACAAACTAATTCATACTTATTTTATAATTATGTAAATAGAGCTAAAATAAATAAATTCAGTATAATAGCAATTAAATAATTATAGAATGTTAAATAATTACAAATTATCTGAAGTAGTGTATAAGAGAATAGATATTTAATCATAAATTATCATAAATATTGTATAAACTTATGAATAATTCATTTTAATTATGTAGAATAGTTATAAAATATTTATAAATTTTGATTAAACCTTTTTAATTCTATTTATTTCATATTTAATAAGAACATCGTAACTAAATTATGTTTTATAAAACTTCCAAGGAATCGAGGCACGAAGAGGACTCTTTGCGGCTCGGGGAAGGTCGGGCAAAAACATCTTTTAGCAATTACTAGAGTCACCGACATGAAAAAAATATTGAAACTTTCATCGATCTCTTAAAATGTGGATACAAATGTGTTGGAATCGATTGTTTATCAATCGGACATTCCCGACAAAAAGAGATGAATAGTGCCAAAACTTTCATCGAGGTGTTTTTAGGGCTCTGGGGGTGGTAACTAGGAATTTCTTGAGCCTATCACGTATATTTCCACGAGACGAAATATTATTGTTAGTGGAGGAAGAGATGATTTAGCCTCTAAAATAATTTCCTAGTAGGATTGGATGGATCGAGGTTGAAGGTAGCTATTCAAGGGGAATGAGGGTTTAGGGTTTCAGAGGAGTATAAGGTATAGGAGGTGGATGAGATGCTTTCCTTCTTTATTGTCATTATTGGTCCAGTTGAGTCAAGTTGATTCTTATTGTTGTTATCCGTCATCTTGGGTGAGATTATTTCAATTGTGGTCAAACCCTAATTAAGTCAAACCCTAATTTGGGTCAAACCATAATTCCCTCAAACAACTGTCGTCAAAATAATATATAATTTAGTCAAACCCTAATTCGGGTCAAACCCTAATTAACTCAAACCCTAATTCCCTCACACAACTGTGGTCAAAATAATATATAATTTAGTCAAACCCTAATTCGGGTCAAACCCTAATTAAGTCAAACAATAATTCCCTCAAACAACTGTGGTCAAAATAATATATAATTCAGTCAAACCCTAATTCGGGTCAAACCCTAATTAAGTCAAACCCTAATTCCCTCAAACAACTATGGTCAAAATAATATATAATTCAGTCAACCCTAATTCGGTCAAACCCTAATTAAGTCAAACCCTAATTCCTCAAACAATTGTGGTCAAAATAATATATAATTTAGTCAAACCCTAATTCGGGTCAAACCCTAATTAAGTCAAACCCTAATTCCTTCAACCAACTGTGGTCAAATTAACAATTATGTACTAATTATTCAACTATCAATATTAAACTAATTAAGATACTAACAATTGTATTTAAAATAAATCTAATAAATATTTATTCAAAACCGAACCATTCAAACCGAATCATAAATCTAATCAGACCGGCCCGACCAGACCGGGCGGACGGGGCCCGACCAGACCGGGCGGACGGGGTCCGACAAGACCGGGCGGATGGGGTCAGCTCCGGCCAGTCGGACCGCGTTCGCTCCGGCCAGTCGGACGGCGACTGAAAAAAAAAAATTCCCTCCGCCGAGTTTGGGAGGTTGGCGGCGGCGAGAGCGAGCGAGGAAGACTCGATTTGCGGCGGCGGCGCTGCTATGGCGTCCTCTTCGGCGGCAGCTTCTGGGCTTGGCAGGAGGGAGGTGTGGTCGGCGGCGGCGGGAGGTTGGCAGGAGGGAGGAGTCGGCGGCGGTGGAGGTCCGGCAGGAGGAGGGTAGTCGGCGGCGGGAGGTCGGCAGGAGTAGGGAGGGTTGAAGGGGGTGGCGGCAGATGGGTTAAGGGTGGGATAGGATTAGGGGCAAAATCGTCTTTTTTTCTAACTATGGACGGCAAATAGCGATTCAGATTTTCAATCTCTCTCTCTCACTGGAAGGAGAAGGAGAAGAACGAGGATAACTCTTCTTATCCATTGTACTCTCCCACACTTGAAATCAACTTCTATTTAGTCTTTTCCTCTTTCCGCGAAATCTTGTTGGTTTTGTCGGTGGATCATCGTCAGCAATGAGCTTGCCTAGGATAAAGAACAGTCGATCGCTTGATTGCTTATATGGTGACTGGTGAGTAACTACCTCTATTTCATTTTTTTTTCTACTTTTAGGGTGTCAGGTGATGCTCAAACTTTGATTTATTTTTTATGGATTCTTCGGCTGCAAGAACATCTCGACGATGAACTTGCCAGAGAAGGGTTGTCCGCTGACTGGTTTAGATGTCGGTTTTATGCACTGTGTTACCTAAGAAAGTCAATTTTTACGTACCCATGTTTGTGTTTATTCTTTCTTTCCTTTATGGGTTTTGGTTTATACTCAAACTTGATTTCCTTAATGGATTTATTCGCTGTAGGAACCATGTTGACACCGGGCTTGCCTAGGGGGAGGAGGGTTGTCCACCGGCTGATTTGTTAGATGATGAGTTTCTATGCTTCATTTGTGTTACCCAGAAACGCTGGTTTTTGAAGATAAAGGAAGAAGAGGATGGAAGAAGATTTGGTGAGTTTATGTACTAAGATTCTTCCAATGGATATGGTGAGGCACTTCATGCAGATTGATATTGGCAACGATCTGCTGGTGACAATGGCAGAGCGATGGCGCCCCGAAACACATATGTTCCACTATCCGGAGGAGGAAATAACGATCACCCTCAGAGACGTTGTCATCCTCACCGGGCTGCCGGAGAGGCCATCATCGACCACTCGAGAAAACCTAAAGAAGGTTGGAGGCCACTGATTCTCTAGCGTATGGGGTTCAACATGCCGCCCCAAACTGAAGTCAAAGGACATGGGCATCCAGCGCTGAATGTGAGGCAAGTATCGATCTGTGGCTCGTTGATCGCATCCAAAATGCGGTTCATATCGGCCCAAACACCCCCGAAGATAAAGTGGAGCGGTATGCGTTACCTCATTGGCTTGGTTGGTGAATTTATGTTCCCTGACAAGGCAAACATGTGGATACAAGGCATGTGGTTGTCGTTGCTCCTCACTGACTGGGACACGATCGAGAGAAAGAGTTAGTGGTCGGTCGTGTTAGCTGGGGTATATCGGGAGCTGTGTACTTGCTTGAAGTTGGGAGCGAAACAAACTAGTGGTGCGATGTTCATCCTTCGGCTCTGGGCATGAGAGCATCTTCCGATGTTCGCACCTCGAGACCTGCAAAAAATTCTGGGCGCCTAATGAGGAGCTACGAGCTGTGGCAATCCCACCTATAGTGTCAAGTAAGTTTAATTTACTTGCAACTTTGTATTTACATTTATGTACTTAAATTTATTATAAGCTAAACTTTATTACATTTATATTACATGCTTGGTAGGCATTTTATATTTGATTATAAGCTAAAATGTACGACATGCTTAACTTTATTTAATTTAGATTTATTCCATGTATGCAATTCTATATAATTTAGATTTATTACTTAAATTGATTAAGTGCTTAAGAAATTCTTACATGCTTAGCCTTTATGCTTTATAAGATTCTTATATGTGTACTTTTACTTACAAGGTGGATCAGAACAAATACAAATGACCACCACCCAAAGCACTCTTTACTGTTTTATCGTGCTGAGTGTGATAAGCGTTGGTGGAACCAGGTAAAAATGACAATTGAATATTTTAACTTTATAAAATATAGTGGATGTAATTGGTACTAATTTCAAATTATTAATGTGTATAGGTGACATGTGACCCAAATCCCCAGTTGCCACATGCAACCCTCTCCAGCATTCTTGCATATGACATGTAGTTCTTTGCTGTCAGAATATTTTACCCTCCACTCGAAATTCCGCCGCATGACTTCTTCGCTAAAGGCATCTTGAACAACGTCCTTCGAACTGAACGCCATACCCACCTCCAAATTGGCAGTCGGATTATACACGGGCATAGAGGGAAAGTCGGGGGCATCGTTCTGACCATTAAAATTTGAGATGGAACATCTGTGTAGTATGGTGTAGGTGGCTCACGGAATGCCACCTCGTCGTCCGTATCTTCCTCCTTGCTAACTGATCTTAAATCTTCCTCACCTTCCTCGTCGCTGGATACGAATGGATAGCTCGGGGCAGGAGGATCATCGTGACCAGCACCACCAACATCGTCTTCTCTCTCATGCGAAGTATGCCCATATTGAATGGTGTTCTCAATGTCAGCCCACTCTGGCCCCCAAGCAGGCCATTGAACGTCGTCGGACTCAACAAATGGGCCAGGCTCAGCGCGTTGCAGGTATTCTTTCCATGGCACCCCTCCTGCAGAACTACCTCCTCCGTAGTTGCTTGAACTATCACCCCATCTCTACCCTCCTACAAAACCATCATCATAAGAATACTGGTGAGAATGAGTTTCATCGACCGCCTCGTTCTCAACATACACCTCTACAAGCCGCATCCCGTTGTCAGTTAGGAACTGTAACATCATGGTAAAAGCGTCATCATCATTTATGACAACTTCTTCATACATAACCCTGCCGACACTCATGTTTGGATACCGATAAGTAATTTTACCATTTCTCGTCTGTCCGCCCATACAAATCCTGTATGCACAAATGTCACGCAGTTCTTGCCACATGAATCTGGACTCAATTTTCAACATGGTGGATTCACCATTTTCATAATCGATCTCAATGTCAAAGTTTATCACCCGACCATTCCACCGAATAATAAGTTGGAACTTCTTGAATTTACTAATGCCTGGAATTTATAATAAGTAACGATTAGCTTTAAACAAAACATTTAGTATAATCAATATGTAGGCCTACACAAACATAATGCATAACATAATTCAGGGCTATAGAATTAATAGATCTATACCATAACATACTTGCCCCTAATAGTAATGCGTTCTATACAAAGATATTAAACTATGAAAATATCAACAATCTAGCAAATAACGAAGTAAAACATACCTAAAATTTGAGTTATTGTAAGTGTGTATGCTGGGAGCGGCTGCAGAGGAGAGGAATTTTGCTTTAGGGTTTGGCAAAAATGGGAGGATTAGTTTGGTTCACGGGTGGGGGGAGAAGCTTATTTATATTTGACTGCAAGCACATCTTTACCGCGGTAGTCTACACTCTACAGCGGTGAAGGCTAGGTTGTTGTCAACTACAATTTCACCTTTCGGAGTATGGAAAATGTGGAGATCTTGACGGCAATAGATGAAAGCAATGACAGTTCACTGTGTTAGACAATAACGTTAAAGTATTCGAAAGATATTCACCGTTTATGTAAAAAACGGTGACGACTCTGCAGAGGAAGATGGTGATGTGTTCACCACATATATCTACAACAGTTACTATGTTTACTAATGCCGAGAAAAGCGGCGAACACATCCTTGCTGTTGAGAAACATGATGAATGTCTTCACCGTCTTTGTAACATTAGAATTTTTTTTTAGGCAAAATACACTTGTATAGCCATAATTTTCACGCTTTTGACAAATATAGCCATAACTATTCGAAAACACAAAATAGCCAATTCCGTCCATCATTTTAACGGTGTTACTTAACAATCTGACTAGACGGATGGAAATGCTGACTTGGCGACATTTCGTCAGTTAAAGTCCACATGGATTAAAGGAAAAAAAAGCCAAAATAAAAATCAAAAAAATCAAAAAATAAAAATGCTCATTTAGGGTTCTTAGAGACCCCAAATTCGGGGGCCAACTCTTCATCTCCTCACCAGCCGCCGCCGAAATTGGAAACAAATCGGAAGCCAGCGGTAAGCACGAAGAAGAATAAACGAATCAGAATCCAGTCAAAAGCACGGCGAGATGAGGGAGAAGGTCGAGCAACCTGCTTGTTTCTTCTCGGCGGAGATACCGCTACGTTGGAGGATTTCGAGGTCGACGAGAGTGAGGGACATGAGGCCGAGAGATATGTGGCTGTAGGGAGCGAGCGGAGAGATGAGCGGTGAAGGTGAGTTTGTAGAAGGTCGGCAAACGAAAAGGAGAGAGCTTGGAGAGGATCGCAACAGCTGCGATGGAGTCCCGGTTGACGAGGGATCTCCACTCCCTTCTTTCTCCAGCCGTCTCCCAACCTGCATCGACGCCGCTGGAGGAAGAAGAGGACTCACTGCCAAGCTGCACAAGTGCTACATGGTCTCGCTCCAAATGACCAAACAAGCTCCAATTCAGCAGCAACAAGCTTCAAAGCCGCCAGCAGCTACTTATGCCAGTACCAGGGTGAAAACAGAGGAATTGGAGCAAGCCCAGGAAACAGAGTCGAATTGGATGGGATTAAATATGTAAAAAGGAAAAGGTGAATGAAGGCAGATTGAGAGATGGGAGCAAGTCCATCAATTATTTCATTTGGACTGGGAGGGTTTTGGATTTGGCTGATTATCGAGTGACAATTTGATGGAAGGGTTGCAACAAGAAAAACAGAGGTAGAAAGGGGTTTTGAATTTTGATAGAGAAGAAGTGAAGAAAAGGAAAATGAAGGAGGTAGAAGGGGTTTCCATAGAAGGGGAGTCCAACGGAGGTAGAAGGGGAGTTCATCGGAGAACAGATGGGGAAGGCGAAGGAGAGGAGACTGGATATTGAAAAGGGATTTTTTTATTAATTTATTAACTAATTTATTTTTAAAATAAAATATGACATGGCACTTATGTGGCAAGTGTGATTGAGTTGTCGCTGACGTGTGTGATGATTTGGCATCCTAGTCAGCCTAATGTTAACCTAACTGACGGAGTTTCTAACACCGTTAAAGTTTCTAACGGAAATGGCTAGATTTGTCACATCACCATCTAATTTCTTGGCTATTTTGTGTTTTCGAATAGTTATGGCTATATTTGTCGAAAACGTGAAAGTTATGGCTATACAAGTGTATTTTGCTTTTTTTTAATAACGTGTATTTTGAGAATTTTCTCTAGCTTTAAAGAACTTCAGAACTGGCTACTAAAGTTATCTGAACCCCATTCAGCCCAAACCAACAGGTCTTTTGTCCAACTGTATCAAGCTCACCATTTCTACCACGGAAGAAAACAAACTTAAGGCAGCAAGCCGCATTTTTTAGGTGGCAGGACGCAGGATCAGCACGGGAAAAAAATGCAATCCAACAAGAGAAAGCTATGAAAGAGATTCAAACGTTCAGAGTGATTACCACTTAAAATCCCATCCGTACATTATAAAACTCACACCACAGATTTCCAAGTCTTCATGACAACAAAATTTGATTCAGCATGCCAAAAGGAACCAAAACATCAATGACACCAAGTTCTGATGGACACACACTTACTAAGTATTTCAAACACCACAATAACAAGCCCATCGGGAAACCTGTCCCAAACCAGAAGGGTAAGATCTCAACGAAGCCTCCTGGCCTCTCTCTCAGACTCGAGCAAGGTGAGGATGTCGCCTTCTCTCACTGGACCCTTGACATTCCTCATGATGAAGCGGTTGGGGTCGTCCATGAACTTGACTCTGACCTGAGTCACCTGCCCCCTGGATCCAGTACGGCCCATCACCTTCACAACCAAAGCGTGCTTGGTCTGAGAGTCCATCCTGCTGCACAAGTTACAAAATGGTAGTAGAGTTAAAGAGGATACCACTGCGTGAAGAGTTATTAACACAGGATGATGATATTTGCAGGACATCAGCTATCAATAGGCACCATAGTGTTGGATCTATGCTACCAATGTCAAAAGCAGCAAATTCAATTGGCTCAACAGATGAAACAAACTTAAATGACAAGCTTAAGTGCGGTAGACAGTCTAACACAATTGGTGTATTACAAATCGCAAAGCATGATGATCATAGTTACAGATGCCACCATCATAACTAAATTCATCATATGAAATTAGCAAGCCCTAGTTTTCTAGTTTAAGTAACTCAACTCATAGTTATCGCAAACTAAACTCAAATTGGGGAATAAACATCAGCTAAGACCATAATCCAACAACTAACAGAATAGTGCAAATCGCACCCAAAGACAATTAGAAACCAACTCCTCAGAGAAAGCGACCGTAATCCAACCACCATCAGATTCGTTCAAATCCGAGCACAAACAATATGTCCATATAAAATCGATTCCTGGAAGGCGAACACAAAATCCGGAGTTTTACAAGCAATCATCAAACATCACTCAGCAAAAACCTATCGATCGATCTCTCTACAGGTTTCATCATCAGACAACCAACCAACAGACAAGTCGAAGTAAAAACACCCCTCAGCAACACAGAGCTTCAGGATCCACCATAGCCACAACAAGAATGAAGAAATGGATCGGTGGACGTTGGAAGCTTGAACAGGGATATAAAAAGGAACATGAGTGGAAAGAAGCAAAGCAGAGCTTCAAGAAAGAACGAACCTTCCGAAGCTTAGAGGAGAGTCAACGAAGAAGAGAAAGGATACCGGCTGCGGCTGAGGCTGCTAGGTTTCGCACGCAGATGTTGGAGGAGGCAGGCGAATGAGTCTTTAGGGTTTTTGTAAGGAGGAGGATGAAGGATCCTCAAATTACCTTTCGCCCAAGAATAGACGTTGCAAGAGTGGGGTAGTATGGTAATTGGCACCGATCTGGCTGGAGGTTGGTTTACCTAATCTTCTCGGCCCAGGAGTTTGTTTGGCCCATGTTCGTAATTATTAGCCTCATTACTCCTGGCCTCGCGTCGCCCGCCAGTTCACATGCGCTTATCGTCGGGTTTTAAAAGTTCTAAACTCTTTATTTTGTTGAATTAGCGAAATAAGATTGTTATTCACCGACCTACTTTTTACTAATTGTCGTCCTAATTTGATATAAAAAGACACATGTACCCTTAATGAAAAAACCATTCTCTTCTCCTTTCCTTTTCAGTTCACTAGGGGTGGACAACGGGACGGGATTGGGTACCCGTCCCGTTTGAAACGGGTATCCAATCTCATTTGGAGAGAAATTTTCATCTCATATCCCAAACCCGTACGGGTTAACGTTTATCAATATTTCTTTAAACAACGACAAGACCGTCAATCTCGTGGAGAGCTACATTACCATCGTCGGCCATTAGAATAAGCCGAATCCCATCCAATACCTTGTCAATGTTCTCCTTTGTTAATGGTAATACCAATGTTGTCAAAAGCGAATCGGAGTATGACCCGATAATGTGAACAGTTCGGTCTTTAGCGGTCCAACCAGCATTAAACCGTTTAAAAACTAGAGGTGTCAATCGGGCGGGTTAGGGTGGGTTCGGGCTGGGTTCATTCGGGTTGCGGGTTGGTCGGGTTGCGGGTCGATCGTGTTGCGTGTTTATCGGGGTCGGGTTGATCAGGTTGCGGGCTACTCGGGTTACGGGTCAATTGGGTTGCGGGCCAATCGGGCTGCGAGCCAATCGGGTTATGGGTCAATTGGGTGCGGGTTAATCGGGTTGCCGGTCGGGCGGTTAGGGTTGCGGGCTTTACGGACTAGAACATCGCGTTAGTTTTTAGTGATTACTAGTAAGTCGTAAATCGTAACTATATGAAGCTAGCACAATACTTGTAAAAAAAAAAAGGAATCACAACTCAAAGTTATAAGATTAGTGTCAATAAAACAAATATCAACACAATTGAAAATAATCTTTCTTGTAGCATGAGCACCAGTACACCTGGCAATCGGGTCGGGTTGGGTAATTTTGGGTTGTGGACTTCGGTTATGGGTCGGGTCATGTTTGGTTGGCTGATTTCTGGTCAAATATTGACCCAACCCATTCAGTTTTGGGTCGGGTTACAAGTCATTTCGGGTTACGAGCGTTCTCAGAAACAATATCAAACATGCTTCATATTTTCTTAAAGAATACAAATTTTCACATATGCATGACAATAGTTTACCTAACAGATGTCAATTAACATATTCTTAAATCCTCCCACGCTAATGAAATGAAATACAAATTGCGCAAATCTTCAAAAAACAATCACAAGAGTAATACTACTACAAGAAACACATGTTATTTGATTATCCTTAAACTCCAAACATGTCATTCAAATCTTGTGATTTTTTTAAACATCTCACCAATTTATGAGTGATTTTATCATATTTTAAGAGTGATATATGAAATGGAACGGGTCTAACGGGTCGACCCGCTAACCCAACCAACCCGACCCCAAAACTTACGGGTTATCGGGTTCGGGTCATTCGGATTTCGGGTTACAAAAATTTCTAGTTTTCGGGCGGTTTCGGGTCGGGTCAACGGGTCGGGTTGTAATTTGCCAGGTCTAAACACCAGCCAAATTGAAATCATCTAGAATTATCCAAATCATCATGTTGATACAAGATTTCTAAACTAGCTTAAATATCAATAAACTCTCAAATCTTCAAGATCAATCAAATCATCATGATGAGTTGAGGATAGGTACAGGGAAGGGAGAAAGAGAGACAGAAAGAGCGAGGGTGTGTTTGGAATTTGGAGGCTTGCCGGCCAAAATTTTTGAGAGCTAAGGTTTTTCCTTTTTTGCGCTTTGTGGCCAAATTTTTTGAAAAGAGGCAGCTACTTTGCCGCTGGAGCAAATAAAAACTTGGAGCCAATTCTACCAAAAATGAAAATTTTGGAGCCAAATACCAAAGAATATTTGAAACCAAAGTCCCTTTTGCGCTTGGCGGCCCAAATTTTGGAAAAGAGGCGGTTACGTTGCCGCTGGAGCTAATGAAAATTTGGAGCCAATTCTACCAAAAATGAAAATTTTGGAACCAAAATACATCTTAAGCAAAAAGAATTTATCCCTCATAAAATTGAAAGAAATAATTGATAAAGAAATTCTTAAAAGTTCACACGAATTACCATGACTAAGTATTAATCACGGGAAATGAAGACTAAAAAACTGATAAATAATTCCCTGTGATTAGAAACATACAACTAAATACATGAAATTTTCCCGTGGTTATTAATGTACTTTCTAATACGGGAAAAATTACCGTGAATAAGATACCGTGTTTAGAAACCTGTTTTCCTATAGTGCAATATGAACTATTATGAGTCATGTATTCTTGTTATGATCAGACTTTTGTGAACTATTATTAGTCTTTTTTATGACAGGACCATGATATTAGGATTTTAAATCTTATAATTATCATAATATGCTAAATTAATATTTTATAATGTTATGTGCACTATTAGGTTGATGATGTATCTATATAAATATTTGATGATATTATATGCGTTAATAGGTTGATGATGTATATTATTATACTAAGTCAATAATTGATGATGTAATGATCAGACTTTAGTGAACTAGAATTTCAAATGTCAACTTTTGGTTTATCTTCATCGAATTCCTTCTATTATAGTCGGGCTGCGGGTTGGTCGGGTTACGGGTTCGGGTTAGTCGGGTTGGTCGGGTTGCGGGTCGATCGGGTTACGGGTCGATCGGGTTGCGGGGTGGTCGGGTTGCGGGTCGATCGAGTTGCGGGTCGGGCGGGTTACGGGTCATTGACTTTTAGTCAAATCAAGTTGCGGGCGGGTTGCGGGTCGGGTTGATCGGGCGGGTTACATTTTGATAGCTCTATTAAAAACCATTAGAAAGCCGGTACCTAATAAATAATCGGTATAAATAGTGGACACTTATTAATCATGGTAAACCATGACTAAATTAGTAAATTACACTCTTTGCCCGACCATCTTGCTTGGTTGAAGCAGTAGAGCTCGGTGTTGTTAATTGGGTAGCACTATCTGGATTTGGAGTACTCATCTACAAAAGAAAACCAAATCAATATTCAGATTTTATCTATTCTCTACCAAGCAAATGCAAATAAACATTGAAATCAAAATAATGCAAACCAAATATTAAAATTACAATCAACAAGAAATTAACTTACCTCGAGCAGGAGGTGAAACGACTGGTGGGAGATGTTGCGGACTCTGGAGGTGAGACGGCCAGAGCAGGGCAGTGGTTGGTGGAAATGTTGCGCAGGTGAGACGGTCGGAGCAGGGCAGTGCTCGGATACAATCCAAGCCTCTGGTGAGACTATAGGTGTCAATCGGGCGGGTTCGGGCTGGGTTCAATCGGCTTCGGGTTCAAACGGGTTGCGGGTTAGTCGGGTTGCGGGTTCATCGGGTTCGGGTTCAATCGGTTTGCGGGCAAATCGGGTTGCGGGTTCATCGGGTTTTGGGTCGGGCGGGTCGGGTTGTTCGGGCCAGCGCATCAAGTAACTTAACTCATTACTCATTACCAACTTACATATTTTATTACACTAATTTAAAATATTTTCTCAACTTTTTAACCAATTTATTTCTACCTCGTATATATACTTTATTTTATTGAAAAAAACTAGTCAAAATTTTAAATCAATTTGTATGACTTGCAAACTTGTTATGTAATTAATCATAATTGGTAAAGTATTATAGCTAATAGTAATGGTGATATCAATATTTGCAACCAAAAGACACCGTTAATTGTTTATTTGATATTTTAGTATTAATTTAGTAGTAATTGAATTAAAGTATCTCGTTTAGTATAACCATGCAAATCTGGTATTTGGCGTGTGGTAATTGGCAAAAGCATAGTGATAAAATGAGTTATTTCAAAATAACTCATTGCTCAAATAACTTCAGTAAACTGTTGCCAAACGAGTTATTTGTAAAATTGTTCGAATTATCCTAAAAATTGAACCATTAAAGATTAGCTATCAAATTTAGTAAAATTATTGTCACTTCAATCATAACTTACTCAATAGCATATATCCTATACACTTAGCCTTACCCTCAATCAACAATATTAAGTTAGTATATGTTGTTGATTGTATACCCTAAACCATCAATACATTATATACTAACCACATAACCTATACCCTAACCATATGTCCTTGAGTTGTGATTTTGCTAGTATAGTGAATTTAAAAGTGAAATTCATACTTTGATTTCAAAACATAGATAAAAAGTGATATTTGCTAATTGTTATACCGTAACCATATATCCTATACTTTACACCACATACCTTGTACCCTAACCACGTACCATAAACATAAATTAAAAAGGGATCTCCTGCCGTTAAAGACTTCAAATGACTTCAAGTGAACATATGTTAATAAAAAACTTAGAACCGTCAAAACCATCAATATCTTATACCCTAACCATATACACCCTAAACCATATGTACCTTATACCTTAACCATATACTTTATATCCTAAACAACGAACCTTCAAAGATTACTTATCGGGTTCGGGTTAATCGGGTTGCGGGTCAGTCGGGTTGCGGGTCAATCGGGTTCGGGTTAATCGGGTTGCGGGTCAGTCGGGTTGCGGGTCGGGCGGGTTACGGGTTGTTGACTTTAGTCAATTCGGATTGCGGTGGGTCGCGGGTCGGGTTGATCGGGCGGGTTAATCGGGTCGGGCTATATTTTGACACCTATAGGTGAGACAGGGCAGCGGAGCAGCTACGGAAAGAGGGGACTGGCCGACTGGGGATGGGGAGCCGGGAGCGGTTTCAAGGACTAGGGATGCCGATGATGGTGACGGGAAGCGATAGGATAGAAGCGCTGGAGCGGAGACCTGCTTGCTACGGGAAGAGGGCAAGGGGAAAAGTACTGGCGATGGCGATGCGGTGGCGAGCTGACTGGGGATGGCGACGATGCCGTCGTGAAGCGCTGACGCCGGGTCAGGAGGTGTTGACGGCGGCAGGGTGGCCCCGCTCTTCTCCCTCTCTTCAAGGGTTGAAGACGAAGATGAAATGAATTAGAGTTAGGGTTTTGTTTGGCTGCCCCAGACCCACGATTTCCGTTGCCCTTCTCAATTTCAATTTTCAATTTTATTTTTATTTTTAGGCAAACAAAACGGCCGGAAGGGGGAACCGCGCAACCAGCTCGAGCGGCCGCTCTATAAAGCCGTAGCGGTTAAATGGCTGATCCGAGCCGGGTTTGCGGTCGGGTGGCGGTCCGGCCGACCGGCTCGGTTCGTCTTTAACAACACTGGGCAATAAACACATGATCATATATCTACCAGTAGCTCGCTCAACTACTGCCAAATTCACTCCACCCCCAAGATTTAATTCAAACTATTTCTTTAATTCAAAACAATTAAAACCCATTTTTAACTTCTTCTCAACTCCTACCCATTTCGCCTAACTACTGGTCTACTGCCCAATTTAGCCAATTTCTTTAATTGAAAACGATTCAAAATGGAAAGGCCGAAGTCAATAATATCCCGCCGTTTTTCACATCTGATGATTAGAATGAATACAATAGCAAAAACATGCACTTAAGTACAACCTTTCTTTTGATTCTCCTTATTATGTTGCAGTTTCCACGGCTGAGTTTGTTGTTGGGTGGGTAGTATGGGTACCTGTAATATCAAAACAAGTATTAACGGGTAATCCGCGGGTACCCATTGTAGAATTTATTGATCCCAAATCCCATCTCGTAAAAAAAATTACAAGTATTTGGGTACCCGTAACCGTAGAAAAACGGGACGGATATAGGTATACCCAAATACACGTTTCCCGTTGTGCACCCCTATTTTTCACTGACCCATTTTCCTTCTCTTTTTTGAACCATGTAAGATGACATGGTATGTCCTAGGACAGACCATGTAAAATAGGATGGTCCGTCTCGGACAAAACCATTTAAAATAGGATGGTCTATACTAGCTTCATTCATATTGAAATACATGGTTCCACTTACGTTGGACCATGTGATTTTAGATGGTTCTTGTCAAAGTACTTATAAAATTGAATTTTTTTACTTTTAATTGGTCCAAGTTTTTTTACAGCAAGATAAAACGGAAAAAAGTCATATTCTCATAACATAAATACAATATTCACATAACATAAATAATATATTCCTATAACACAAATACAATATACATAAGAAAAATTAATTAAAATGATTCTTTTTATCCCACATCTATTCTAACAAGTTTTATATCTATGTGACATTATGGAAAAATATTGTGAATCGTATTGTAGATCATAATAATAACATAACGAAAATACACACTCACTCTTCTTTTTTCATACACAAACATCATATTTTCATAATCCTATCACTTGATGGTGAGATACTTCATGAAAGTTACCGTGACATTTACGTACCAAGTCAGGGGCGAGTATAGATGCTACACTTAATTACTTGAGATGGGAGTGGGACTACCGTTTCATAGTAAAATACAATCACTTTGTTTAATTCAATTGCTCTGGTAATAGTACATCATATTCTTATAACCCTATCACTTAATGTTAAGATACTTCATGAAAGTTACCGTGACATTTACTTACCAAGTCAGAGGGCGGGTATAGATGCTACCCTTAATTGCTTGAGATGGGACAACTGTTTCATAGTAAAATACAATCACTTTGTTTAATTCAATTGTCTGGTAATAGTTAGAATATCATATTTGTTTTGTAAGAATATTGTATTTGTGCAATTGGCATATTGGTTTTGCTGTATAAGAATACAACTCGACATCTTACGATTTAGAATACATTTTAATCACTCTCGTACGCATATAGTATTTGTGCTATATGAATATGATAATTGTAATATGTGAATGTACATGGGCGACGGGCCGGCACGGCACAGGCACGCTTCATGCCCATTTATTTTGTGTCGTGCTTGGCACGGCCAGTCAGTTTTTATGATGTTTCGTGCAAGCCGATTTGTTACTTTTGCTAGGCCCGGGTCGGACCCGGGCACGGTTTGAATTGTGGTGTGCCTACTCGTGCTCGTGTCATGCTCATATTTGTGTTTAACGAAAAGGAAGAAAATAAAAGAGGGAATGAAAAAGGAGAAAATTGGACGGAGAATTAAAGTATGGGTTAATATTTTCGTATGGCCTGAACTTTGACCAAAATAAACATCCTGACCAATCTTTTCGATCTATAACATTCTGGCCCGAACTATACACCAAAATAAATAATCTGGCCAGAACCGACTTTTGACCGTTAACTTGGACGGTCAAACGCGTTGACCGTTAGTCAACGCGCCATGTCACTGCCAAGTTAGCATAAAATATTTAAAATAATTCACAATTTCCACACATTCCCTAATTTTAAATTATTATAAATTAAAAAAAATCATCTAATACGTTAGTTAAACCAAAAATAAAAAATGAAAAAATTAAATATTTATCAGATCTTCTGACTTGGCAGTGACGTGGCGCGTTGACCGTTAGTCAACGCGTTTGACCGTCCAAGTTAACGGTCAAACATCGGGTTTGGCCAAATTGTTTATATTGGTGTATAGTTCGGGCCAGGATGTTATAGATCGAAAAGATTGGCCATGATGTTTATTTTGGTCAAAGTTCAGGCCATACAAAAATATTAACCTTTAAAGTATTTACCAAGAATGTTTGAGAAACGTAAAACAAAGGTGAAAAGCAAATTGTAAGTATAGCGAGTGAAGTTACTTTGTTTAATTCTTCATTCACTTTTTGTTATGTTAGTAATTATATATATATATATATTAATGATCTAACAAATAATTATTTTGTACTTATATTTGCAATATTTGAACCTATTATTCTTTTTAAATTTATTTTTTATCAAATTAATATTTTTTTGTGCTATGTTTGTTCTTATACTTAATAAGATTTTGAAAATATTAGGCCCGCCACGACCCATTTACATACTATGTCGAGCCCGTGCCCATGAAATTTAGGCCCGACACGACCCCTAAAGAATTCGTGCTCGTGTCGGGCTGTCCCATATATTTCGTGTCGGGGCTCGTGTCAGGCTCTAACCGTGTCGTGTCGTGCAAGCCCGTTGGCGGCCCGGCCCGGTGTCCACGTACATGTGTGAATATTATATTTGTGTTGTGCGAATATTCTATGTGTTATGAGGATATAATATTTGTATAATTTAACTATTAAAATTAGAAAAGACATCCTCAATGTTTCTTTTATACAAAAGATAATCATATATTGATTGAACAAATAGATAGTTACATCCTGGAATTCAGTCAGGCCTGAAAATCAAATAAACGACTCATAGTCGGGTACAAAGAAAGGGCCTTTCTAGCCAACAAATGAGCTACCCTATTGTTACGCCGACCAACAAATCGTACATTGAAGCCCATATTCATATCAAAGGAATGGACGACTTCTTCAAGAATCGATCCCACTCGGTTATCCCTTATATCCCTCTGAAGGATCTTCTCTATGATAACCTGTGCATCACCTTCAAACCTAACTGCAGTGAAGCTAGTGCCCACACACCACGCGATAGCCTCCCGGAGAACAAGCACCTCAATCATCATAGGCTCATCCAACTCCGGGAATTGGACCCCTTAACGGCTTAACCAATAGAACCTCTCTGTGTGGAGTCATGAGGACCATCTCACCTGCCAAATGAGACCCACTCCTAACTGCCCCATCCCACATACAAATCACAAAATTTGACCCAATTGGATCTGAGGGAGGAGAAGGAGAGTGAAGTACATGAAGGACCCGGTCCACCGGTAGATTAACCCATTCCTGAACCTGTTGGTTAAACTGTCGCATCAAAGCGGGGACCCCAAACTGCTTGCCATTAAAGACAACCCAGTTTCGAGATCGCCAGATCCGCCATAGGACGACAACAACCGACATTATCAAAATTGGCTGATGAATCAAAGTCAATAAATTTTTCAGAAAAAGGGGGAAGGTATGACGAGGCAACCCTTCTCCAAGGTATCCTCAATGTCTGACCATAATGTGACATGAAGATAGAATTTGTTAGAATAGAAACGAGACAAACAAAATGCACTTTAATTCGTGTTATGTACGAATATTGTATTAGTGTTATACAAATATGATATTTAGGTTATGTATATATTTTATTTGTGTTATAAGAATATAATATTTTATTTATATTCTTTTCTTCTCCCTACATAAAAATTTACAAAAAAATTACAACAAATGGATTATACACATCATCTCCCTAGGGATGGTATTCAATATAACCGGTTACCAAATACCGACGGTATCGGTATGCGACAGCGTAATTAGGCAGGGACGTCCCATGATATTCGGAGGCCCTGTTCGAGAATTTAAAATGTGGCCCAAATATTTTTTTCTCACAAATTTATTAAAACTAAAAATTATTAAATAATAATAATAATAATAATTACATAAGTTCAAAAAACGATTACTAAAGTAATAATATTATCTATCTTTGTTCATAAAGTAACAATCGTCTAGCATTATTTGAGATAAAATCCTCGATTAGCCCTTCCATCTTCTCTATATCTTTTAAAAAATGAAATCAATCCATCTATTTCTAAAATAGCATCATCAACAAGCATATCTTTAGATTGTAAATGTTTACTAACATAATTCGTTTTTGTGCAATATTTCATACCAAATAACTAATGAAACAATAAAGTCATAATCACGAAGTTCATTTTGTGCCAAAGATTTAGCTTCACTTCTAATTTTCAAATCGCCATCAAGATCGGCTATTAGTATCCATCTAGGCTCCACAATTCTCTGTTTTCTTTTACGCTTAGAACTACCTTTTTCGAATTTTTGGGTTGGCATAATTAAAAGTTATAACCAAAGCTTAATGATTCCAAATTTCCAATCAATATTAAGTTCCCGGTAAAAGAAAAGGAAAAAGGTTAGAATTTAAAACAAGTTGATAGGAGCGTGGATAATTGGGATGAACATTGATTAGGAGTTAATTAGAATTGAGGGTGAATAATTAATATTTAGGCCTTGAATGGTTATGGAAAATTGGGGAAAATTGGGGAAAGAGAAGAAGAAAGGCTTTAAATTGTATTACTGTTAGCCTAAATTCATCAAATAACTCCCATCTCAATAGTTAAATCACTCTCTAATGATATAGAGGTCCATGGCTCGATTCTCTACTATGTTAATTGTTGTCATTTATGCATATGGTTTTTACGTGGGTCATGGTGGGCCTCGCTGACTCTGCCTACGGACCAATGAGTCGTGGTGGGCCTCGCCAGCCCAAGCGGCCCATGGTTGGCTCTCCATCAGGACTTATGGATTATACATGAGGCCCCAAGAAGTTGAGGCCCTGTGCTGTGAGTCTGATCAGCACAGGGCCTGGGCCGGGCCTGTAATTAGGAAAACGGTATACTGGATAATATTCAGAAACTTACCGACGGTAATATGGTATACCGAAATACCGAAACAATGTTGTCAGAGGTAAAACACATAGGATTTCCCAACCCTACCACTTATTCACGCCTCGCCTCCTCCTGCTTGTCTTCACGCCGCGAGCTTCTATGTTTCTCTCCCGAGTCCCAACTCTCTGTCTTCCTCTTCTCTTCACCAGCCACCAGCATTCCACGATGCAGAGAGGTACACCGCCAGCCGCCGCTGCTTGAACCTTGAAGCCTGTAATGGTTGTGGTCGAAAGAAGGATTGATTAAGACAATTGAGGTTGGGTACTGCTGGATGGAGAAGGAATTAAAGAAGTAGAAGAAGAAAGGAAGGATTTAGAAGGCAGAAGAAGGGAAGAAGGAGAAGAACAGGGGAGAAGGAGAGTGTGAGCAGAAGACGGGAGGAAGGAGAAGAACAAGAAAGGATTTCCAAAGGTGGCAGACGAAGATTTTGGTGACGACATTTCTTCTTCTTCTTCCCCATTATGATTCCCGGGCAAAGCAGCTCTTATTATAATAATGTAATTAAGGAATTAAATATTAAGGAACATGTCAAAAAAATTACAAAACACAGCAACTCTCTTCGGTTTTCGGGATACTGGATACATACCGGTTACCGACTATCCGGTATATACCGACTGAGAATCGATATCGGTATTCGGCAGCCACTATACCAGTACCCGGTATACCGAATACCGACTGATTACCAGCCCTACCCATCAGCACTCAGTAAGAGCTGGAGCTTTTACCATTAAACCAATATTTAAATCTTGCAATCTATCTACTGCATAGGAATATTTTAAAATGACAGGAGGCCATGGCCCCAAATCAGCGCGTTGCCTCCAACCTTGTTGCTAAATTCGATTGCACCAATTTCTTCCGATCGCTCCCCAACATCAAAGCCGATTCAAGAAGGCGAGTTGTTGGTTCCGTTGAAGGCTGAGCTGTTGGATATTGGCAAGGAGTATGGAGAGAAAGATTTGCGGCGACGATATGTTGGAGATGAATGGGCGGCGAGAAGTAGGCAACGGTAGGGACGACAAAGCTTATTGGTTCTTGTTTCTGTGTGAGATTGAAGGCGAGGGAGATGAGATTTAAGGGATGGAGGGGATCAAAGGTGCAGCGGAGAGTTGAAAGGTCAGCGGGAATCGATGGCGGGAGAAGGGAGGTGGTGCAGTGGAAGCATAGACGAGAATGGATGTTATTTTTTTATTTCCTTTCGAGCAATAAGGGTAAAGGGAGGCAAAGTCTCCGTCAGTGAAGGTGGAGGGCACATCTGTATTTTCCCACTAATTTAGGGCGATGATTAGTAAAAAAGAGGGCGGCGAATAGCAAAGCATTAGCGAAATTGGGTCCTCGTAAGTCGCAACCAGTGGAATGAGAAGAATGACGACCACCTCCCACTCCCCACCATTTATGACACTCTTCAATTCTTAACACTCTTTGGAGCTCTCCCATTTTTGGCTTTCTTACTTTTAAATGGAGCTCACCTGCTCTACTTCGTCCTCTCTTTCTCTTAGAACTTCAGCTACAACCACTCATTCCAAAGTTTCTTATCATCTTCAGACCAAGATACCCATCAAACCCATTGCCAAAACCAAGTATTTTCCGGACTTCCTCCTCCGGAGCTCAAAACTTTCCCTCCCAACAAGACTTGGTTCTCAAAAAAATTGTTCTCAGCTGGTGGGCAGCAGGGTGCAGAGGAGTAATTATATCTGGGATGTTATAAATAGTGAGTTGTAGTGGGTGATTCTTCTGGTTTCTTTCGATGTTTGAGCGATATTGGTGAATTTCCTGTAGCTCGAAAGTTTTCTTGGATTTGTATGTGCATAGGATTACTAGTCACCCATGAATTCCCGAGAAACGTCAAAATTGATTTGGTCGCTTAGAACTTCAAAATTCGAGTGAAGGAAAATGTTGTTGCTCATTGTTGTCTTGTTTTAAGTTGCATGGATTCACCGGGTTTTGCCTTAAATGATCAGGGTTCATAAGCAAATTGACAATCCTTCCAACGGATTAATAGTATATGAATTTGTTGTTTCACTTGGAAAATACTTTTCTGAACTGGTATCTCTGGCACTTGAAGTTGCAATACTTGTAGTTTTAAGCGATTGTGAGGAAAATCTGTAAAGTGAAGGCAACCCAACCTGTGAGGGACTAGAAAGATGTTGTTAACTGGTTGGTCCTCCCGCCCCATCGTGTTATGATGAATTCGGATTAGCTGCTAGAGACTGGTAGTTATCATTGTCATGATATAGTGTAAGATAACATGCTTGAAATCTCCATGACACATGGCCCATGTAATGCGAATCTGGGTTCTATCAGGCCTGTAGTCAAGCTGGAGCTGCTTATTCTGAGCCTGTGGTGGCCACATTTTCAACTTTCAAAGATGCATGTTGGAGATTTCTGAGTCCCCAACTCTACGTGGAACAACTTTAGGGTCCACGTAATTAATAATATCATGTAATTTAGACTTATGCAATTGTCACCAGCTACTCATGCATGTTATGCTGATTGTTCATATATATATATATAAAGCTGAAGTAAGTTTACTGTTGCATAAAAACATACTTTTTGATACTCCAAATTTAATTAAATCACAACTTAAACACTATAATTTACATTTTGCATTTTGATACCTCAAATTTAATTTTAATGTAAATTCATCGAACAATTATATTTTTTAATCTACTTTTTATAATATTTTCGTACCTACAATTTTTTAAATGTACATCTTGGTCCAATGTTTAGATTTCACTTGAATCCATGAATCCATGGATATCCATACCCAACTCATACACATTTAGATTATGGAAGTGAATATCCATATCCTACCCAAACCCTTCTACAAACTTCCAAACCCACATATACGTCACCCATACCCTACCCATAATCAATGGGTCACTGGGTTTAGGTATATATCATTTACTTTCCAAAATTTTCAAAATTGGATGTTGACCGCTATATATCTATTCTCAGTCAAGATCATATTATCAAGTCAATATTACTAACAAACTTGCTAAAAAAATTAGGGTTAGACGACTAATAATACTAACAAAACACCATAACGGGCAACATAATACATGCCAATAAGCCATCTCCGTCCCGCGACAAGGCACGACATCGCCACCTAGTATAATATATATAAACTTGAATCAATTTTACTGTTCACTAAGAATAATGTTCTTATATTGTAGTCATTAAGCTAATTCACTTTGTTTGGGCTTGGTCATTTCAGTTAATTTAGTTTGTTTGAGCTTGGTTTCATGGGCTCCTAAACTTTTGATTAGTTTCTCTTACGATGTCTTGATTTGAGATAGATTTCAAAAACATCTAAAGGGGCCAAAAGATCAACAAAATAAGCCCATGATGCCTATTATTTTCAGCGATTGGCTCCATTCTATTGTTAAGTGTAACTTTATCCCACATTGAAATCTAGCTGATTACTTATCTTCATCGCTATTCACTTGCTATTTGGCAGAAGATTACAATTCGATAACCGACCAAAAGTGGCTAGGTGAGAAACAAAGATGGATTCTTGGGGAATTTTTACCTCGATTAACCTCAAATCTTCTTCATCAATAGCCAATCACAGGATTGATATTTTGATAATGTAGAAATTCAGACAGAAAGAAACCAACTCAGCTCTAAACTTGGTTCCCACTACGAGTAGTTGTAACATCACTGCTTCTAGTATGGTGAACGAGTCGGTCTCTTGAGATTTGAAAGGCTGATTCACTTATTAAAGCGACTGAGTGGGCAAAGAAATAGAAGAACAAAAATCGAATATATGAGAATATGAAATTGAGCGGTGGAATTTAATGTGAGAGACCGAGAGAGGCAACAAAGTTCTAGAATGATAGGGAATTAGTGACTCAGGGGGGAAAACGACTGAAAAGGTAATCATATGCATCGAACATATTGAAAAGGGTTTTTTTCTCTGTCATCAATTCGTACTCTCCATGGAGGATTCTCCTCAATTGTAATGAATACCAAAAAAGTATATGTACAAGTTGAAGTTGTACCATAACTTTAAAAGCACAATTTCAAGTTGTATCATATTGGAAAAAAACTATAGCACCAATATTTTAAAGTATTGTACAATTACTCAATAAAAAGCATAATGGATACGTATGTGGAAGGAAGAGTGGCGAAATTAAAAATTTAAAGGGAAAGAAAAGAATTTTGTTAATGTGTTATTGGCATATTGTGTATTTATCTATAACACTCATTTTTATAATAATTTCCTGTAATAAGTAATAAGCTCCGGGCTTTAATTTTGCTCATATGGACTGCTAGCCCGCTACAAAGTGCGGTGGTCTTGTAGTTACTATATTATTATTTCATGTGTTGCTTTGGTGGCAAGAGTATTGATCGAGAACCCAGAGCTTAACAAATGGTCTCTTGTGTTTAAGGCCTTTTCTGGCCTTTTTTGCTCTACTGTGTGGAAACGGGTACATAGTTGGCATAAATCAAATCTATGACATTGGAATAGACAAGTATGGGCATTGGCGTAGCCAGAGAAATATTTTAGTGGGGTCCAAGAACTATATGAAAATTAAAACCACAGAACTCATTAAACATAACTCAAGATATAGTGTAATGGTGCAGCTGGTAGTGCTGACCATTTGGTCCGTGCATTTTGGTTTTACCCGAAACCGGACCGTATAACTCTGACCGGGATCGGACCGGATAGCAAACAATCCAATTTCATATTCGGGTTTAGATTTGAGGTAAAAAATCGTTCGGGACCGGACCAAAACCGGATATGAGAGCCCAACACCCAAAACTCCACTAAAATCTCCACAATCTCAATCTAAAATCAAGACTGAATTGGGACCGGACCGGGTCAAGACCAGACTGTATCCAATCCAATCTTTAATCCTTATATTCCCGAAAAGACCGGACTGGGACCGGATCAATTCGAGCCAATTTAACTGGACCGGACCGTATAGCCACCCCTAGCAGCTGTTGGCTCATATTCATGGGGTCCAAGGTTCAATTCTTGGATGCCTCATCTATAGATTCATTCATTTTTTAATGTGCACTCATTTTCAAGTAGGGTCCATTGACCCCACACCACATAACGTGGCTCCGCCAATGAGTATGGGCCACCTTTCCTCTTTTTGTAGCTCACAGGAGCCCAAACTACCTGTGTCTTGAATCTCTGCTATGCCATTGTGGTAAAGTTTGTTGATCTAGTTTATCTCTCTTGATTTTGCAGGGTTAACAAACCTTATTTACCTATTGCTGCAGGGGACCTTTCAGTCCCAACTGCATGGCTGTTGGTGATACTTTTTTCCAGTGATTGGAATTCTCATTGTGGGATTGAACTTTGGCCCATTCATCACTTCTCTTTACTGCTTTGGTCTTTTCCTGCGCACCATCAATTTCGTTCCTCCATTTAGAATGAAGAGATTGGCAGTTGCAGCATTTCTTATTATTGCAACGGTATTCTACTAACTAGGCTATTGTGTTTGATTGATTGTATTTCACCTTTTCTCCCCTGTTTCTGAAACTCTGCCTACTCTTTTTTCATAAATGCTCAACCGGCTCCCCTCATTTTATCTACCGTTAGCTGCTTCTTGTTGTTTGCTAAAGCTGATGTAGAATGTGCAACAACTAAACATTATTATGATTCTGAAATAATAAAAAAATATTGAATTGAGGTGAAAATTCAAGATCCTGATTTTGTTCTACTCCAAGTCTGAGTTGAAATCCAGTTGAGTGAGCAAGCTTGATCACTATATAAAATGTCACAGTATGGTTCATCTCTTCAAAAGCACAAAAGAGACCATACAGAACCATTCATAATTCATATATTTTGATAGTACTCCTTTGGAAGGAAACAGTACACCAGTCCACGAGCTTGGGCTGACAATTCATAATGGGGTCGTTTGGATTGAGAATTTAATTAATTAGAGATTTGGTCCACAATCCCTCAATTAAAAACCTGGTATTTTAAACCCAGAATTTGGGATAAATATATTGTTTGTTTAGGAATGAGAGATTTATTAGGCAGGAAATTTAATTATGAAAGCAATTCTAAAAGTACCTTTATACCCACCCACCTATAACCCAAACCACATATGCACAGAACTCGCATGGACTGATAATCCCAACCCCATCTATACCCACCCACCAAGTCCTGGTCCTCTTCCAGCTTCCAGAGACTAAAGAATCCATCTTTGTTGTAGGCTAATGGACCTGGGCGTGGAAACACCAAACATGATATATGCCTTTAGCATATTTAACAGAATCATAACCCTGCAACATACTCAATTATGGGTTTAACCTGATAAAAAAAACTACATATGTAACCATGTAACATACTGCAAAATCCCAAAAACACAACAACCTTGTTCGAGTTCTTTGTTCAACATACGTAAACCGACATTCAAAACTTCCTGCAAAATCTCAAAACACAACAGCCTTGTTCGAGTTCTTTGTTCAACATACGTAAACTAACATTTATAACTTCCCACAAAATGTACTTCATCCAAGCAGCCCTGTCACGAACATCAACTTGTCAGCTTTGTCTTCCAAGCCATAGAAGATCATCAAATCCGTGTCATTGTTAGAAAGCTTCCTTAATGCTGTTAAAATCTCAGCTCTAGTGAGCCCTTCAAGCTCCTCAAGTGTCTTCAGCAGATTGGTTCTCTTCTCGATAAGGTCGTCGCTCTCACCAAGTGCTCTAGCGATGGTTTCCATTGACTGCTTGATCATTGGGCGAAGCTCACTCATCTCACGCACAACAAAGTCAATCCTGTCATCTACAGATTGGGACCTCTTCTTCTTATTCCCTGCTGTCCCATCACTCGAGGCTGTAACACTTGCAGACTGCATTTTCTGTGCTTCTAGCTCTGCATTAAGTTCAGCCATCACAACCTCCTCAGCTTCATTAAGTGGGACGGCTTGAGTACCCTCATCCTCGATTGGTTCCCCCCCACAGCCCGGGGGATCGATATCGCTATGAGGAAGGGTAGGTAGGAAGGTAAGTACCATTTCCTCTATTTCTACATTTCTCGTCTTTGTAAGACGCCCTTCGGCAACTAGTAGTTCACATAGAGTTTTGAATAAGTTGCGGTTCATTCTAATCTTCCTATGGCTTTCCGTATCACTACTTTGCGTACATCGGTAGAGGAACCTCTGCCTATCGTAGTGCCTAATAATGTACCCATCAATGGGCTGCCTACCAATTCTAGGATTTAAGTGCTTTAGATGTAGGAGCCTTGTTAGTTCCATTCCCAAATCGATATACATAACTAACAGATTCCAAAATGCGCTAATCGCTGCCATATCTTTCGCCTTTCTGATGAAGACATGCTTGACAGACGAGCCATCCTTATAAGGGCAGGTAAAAACAACAATAATAAGAAGCTGATAGAATAAACTGAAACAACCATAATAGCAGGAAACACCAAAAGCAACAGATAGCAGAAGAGACAAGTTTTAGAGAAAAAGAAACTATAAATACTCTATGTAGTCAAAGGAAAATCAAATCAATTTGAATATATGCAGATTGTTAGCCACTACTGTGATGGTTATCCTATTAACATGTATGGCTTCTCCCTCTTTAATCAGCAATTCTTCACTTTCATTAGAAAATGAAAAAAGGAAACAGTCTTGACTAGTGTTTTAAGAATACAAATCATGCATAGACTACAATTGCATCATAATTTTTTTCTAGTGAACTGAGTGCGAATGCATCCTTACAACTGCATGATCATTCACAAAATTCATCCCTACTTTATTCTTATTGAGCCAGGAACCTAGCTACTGATTTTTAAAATGGGATTTCTGATAGATAGGAAATGGTTTTTCTGAGATGGAGAGATTGGCAGTTGCAGCATTTCTTATTATTGCAACGGTATTCTACTAACTAGGCTATTGTGTTTGATGTGATTGTATTTCATTTCAATATATCTGGTTCTTGAACCATCACCAATTATGGCTTCTGGTGGTTGTTTGCTTGTTGTTCTAATGGATGGTGTTGATGATATATATTATTGTCTTTCAGTTCACACATGGCTGCTGGAACAGAGGAATTATACGAAGGTACAACATATATCTGACTTACCATTCAGTATCGCATTTTGTGGCAATTAGGAGCCTAATTAATTACTTCATATATTTCTTGTGCAGGAAGCAATCTCAGAGTTCTACCGGTTCATTTGGAACCTTTTCTACGCTGAGTACTTCATTTTCCCTCTAATCTGAAGCTTATTTTGGCTTCACCTTTTCTCCCCTGTTTCTGAAACTCTGCCTACCCTTTTTTCTTAAATGCTCAACCGGCTCCCCTCATTTTTCTACCGTTAGCTGCTTCTTGTTGTTTGCTAAAGCTGCTGTAGAATGTGCAACAATTAAACATTATTATGATTCTGAAATAATAAAAAAATATTGAATTGAGGTTAAAATTCAAGATCCTGACTTTTGTTCTACTCCAAGTCTGAGTTGAAATCCAATTGAGCGAGCAAGCTTGATCACTATATAAAATGTCACAGTATGGTTCATCTCTTCAAAAGCACAAAAGAGACCATACAGAACCATTCATAATTCATATATTTTGATAGTACTCCTTTGGAAGGAAACAATACACCAGTCCACAAGCTTGGGCTGACAATTCATAATAGTTAATTTAGGGCTTAAAAGCTTAGGAAAGAAAGGAAAACAACACAAGGAAAACAACACATTCATACTCCCATATGGCAAACGGAAACAATACTCCATATAACACACAATTCCAGAGATAAACTATGCCTTTCTAACACTCTTGTTTATTTAGTACTAGACGGAGAAGTGTCGCAGGCATGGCTCTCTCTATATAGTCGTAACAGGTGGCTGATCAATCGATTATTCATCGTCATCATTGCGGCGAGGGTGGTGATGCTTATAGCGATGCTGCCTCCTCTCGTCGTCATCCTCGCCAGAGTCATTATCTCCCAGCAAAGGACACCAGTTAGTAACAAGATTTTTCATTCAAGCAAAAGAACATCCCCCAAAATGCAGTCAATAACTATCCATCTAGGCTTGATAATCGGTTCGGTTGCGGTTTAACCGAACCAATTCGTTGGTTAACCGCCACCGAAGAGAGGCCGTTACCACCAACCGTCACCGAAACCGAGAAGGTCTACGGTTAGCCGCCACCGAAATAGCTAACTGCGGTGCGGTTAGTCGGCTAAACCGACCCTCACAATTAAAATAAAATAAGGGGAATTTTTGGGTTGTCTCTCTCCTTCTCTCTGGAAATTTCCTAATCCAAATCCCGTATCTCTCTTTCTCTCTCAAAATCTTCTCCAATCTTTGAGATTTCCCTCTTTGAATCTGCTGCTCCTAGCCTCTTCCCATCTCACTTTGCAGCGACGGTGAGCTGGCAATCGGCTCCGACGAAGGGCGCCAGCGAGGTAGATGGGAGGCGGTGACGACGAGGAAGAATGCAGGGCGGCGAGGATGGAACATGCAAGGCGATGCAGGGGACGACGATGACGACGGCGACCGAAGATCAACCTGCTGCTACTGGCGATAGGCCTTGGATCTGGAGGATGAAGAAGGGGCGGAGATTGAGACCGCTTCGATTCTTTCCGCTTTGCAGTTCTCGTCAACCTCCGCGAATGAAGAAGGACGGGATGGCGACGAAGACCGATGATCGATTCACTGCTGCAGCCTGCAACGACCCCTTCTCCTTCTTGGCCTTCTTTTGCTGGATCTCGATGGCGGACGACAGCGATTGAGGATGAAAGGGCAACAAAGATTCTTCTTCTAGAGAGCCATGGAGGGGTTGGGACTTGGGTTGGGAGGGAGATTAGGGGGAAAAGGAGTGGCGGAGCGGTTATGCAGTGCACCGATTTTATCTCGGTTAGCCACCGACGGTTGCCGGTTAACATAAATCCCCAAAACAGCCCACCGACACTGCCACCGAGGGTAAGTTATCGGTTTTCGGTTCGGTGAATAACCGCTCAGTTCGGATCGGTTTTTGGTTTAACCGAGAAACCGCCAACCGATTATCACCCCGTCTATCCATGGTTCTTCCCACTACTAAACCAACTAAATTTCAGCTTGTTTTGACCAATTCCAAAGATATTATCACGAAAACATTCATTGCTGCAACGAACACAAATGAAACTTCCCTACATAGCAGCGGAGAATGGATGAATTGCTAGGCTAGCAAATGCAATGTCAGAATCACACGCCGGATATTCAATCAAGCAGCCAAGTTAAAAAAAAAAGAAGAAAGAAAGGGTCTGGGAAAATCATACATATTTCTTGCGGCCATAGCCTTCGTCATCATCGTCATTGCGGCGCCTCCCGTAAGCAGGCTTCTCGGAACTTTTGTCATCTAAGATCCTGCCATTCCTTTCACTCCATATACACCACATCAAAGCATGAAGAAGAGACATAGTACACCATGCCTTGGGTCCCTGCGGCTTTTGAGAATGCCACCTTCTGATTACTGCAGAAATATCTCCTTGAAGCAGATTACTTTGGATATGGACAAATCATCTTAAGATTCGCAAGACTTGAGTTGTGAATCTGCAGTTTAAGAACAAATGGCTCGCATCTTCTTCGTTAACCAAGCAAAGAGGACATCTGTTGGGAAAGCTCCAGCCCCTGCGCTTTAGCATGTCTTGGGTAAGTATCTTCCTCTGATAGATCAACCACACAAGGACACAAATCTTTGATGGAATATGTGATTGCCAAATGAATTTGCGAGGGAAGTCAGCTAACTCCCTAGCTTCCATAACTTCAGAACAATCTTCCTTGGTGAGTTGTTAGTACATGGTGCGCACCGAGAACTGCTTCTCAGAGTTCAGCAACCAAGAAATCTTATCGACCCCTACAGAGAACACATGTAAATGACCAGAAATCAGAGTATAAAGCCTCTCCCTCTCTCTCTCTCTCTCTCTCTCTCTCTCCGCCCCACCCTTCAACGAAAACTTTAAAGGAATTTCACAAGAAACGGTCTCATTCATTCTAAAAAGGATATCATGCAGTCTTGCTCGGGGGTTAACAGCAGAAGCCGCAGCACGAGGAAAGCTATCAACAAGGGTGACTTCTCTGATCCACCGATCCTTCCAAAAGGAGATGTCATCACCTGAATTGCCGGGACTAACAACAACATACTTCCAAAAGTCCTCTTTCAGTTTATATATCTGAGTCCAAGAACTACAACCGACAGAATTGGAAGGTTTACCTGGTATCCAACTAGATTCTTTATTCGGAAACTTGATAATCATGAGATTCTTCCACCAACTATCTTCTGTGGCGAATTTCCACCACCACTTGGAGAGTAAAGCCAAATTATGTCTTCTCAAATCAGGTAAACCAAGGCCTCCAAGCTTTTTGGGTCTTTTGCACCTACCCCAAGAGACCAAATGGAATTTCTTCTGCTCGAGGTTGCCAGACCAAATAAAAGAACATTGGATCCTTTCAATGTTCTTAATAATATGGTGTGGTGCTTTGAACATGGAGCACATGTAAGTTTGGAGGCTAGCCAAGCAAGCTTTGACGAGAACAATCCTGCCACCAAAAGAGAGTAGACTCCCTTTCCACCCTTCCAAACGGACCTGCACTCTGCTGATGAGTGGGTTCCAAATGCTACTAGTCAGAGGTGAAGCTCCTAGAGGAAGACCAAGGTAAATGGTAGGTAAGAACTTCCAGTCACAACACAAAAGGTCTGCCAACCTGTCAATATTCTGAACATCACCGACCGGGAACAATTTACTCTTATCAAGGTTTATTTTTAACCCCGACGCTAGTTGAAATGAAGTCAAGACAGCAAGCAGGTTCGTGACCTCACTTTCCGTAGCATCACAGAAAACAATGGCGTCATCAGCGAACAAAATATGAGTTACTTCACCTCTGCGATTCAACTCATCCATACAGAAACCCAAGATGAAACCCGCGACATTGGCTTCCTTAAGCATAAATGCTAAGATGTCCATCACCACGTTAAAGAGAAATGGAGACAAAGAATCTCCCTGCTTTAGCCCTCTTTCCATACCAAAGAAGCCGGTTGCCTCTCCGTTAACAAGAACCGACAACTTTGAATTGCTAACAATACCTCTGATCCACTTTTGAAATCTCTGATTGAAACCCATGGAATCAATAATTCTGAACAAGCAAGGCCAGCTAACTGAGTCAAAGGCCTTCTCGATATCAAGTTTTAGAACAAGACCCAGCTTACCACTCCTTTTCCTACTATCAATTGCTTCATTGGCAATGAAATTGGCCTGATGGCTCTGCCGACCTCTAACTCCTGCAAAATGATAAATAGAGATGACAGACTTAATATAAGGTCTGATTCTGGCAAACAAAACCTTGCATATGATTTTATTGAGGCAGCCCACAAGACTTATTGGTCGAAAATCTTTCACCTCTTCAACCGCATCTTTTTTGGGGATCAAGCAAATGAAGGAATGTGTCACCGAGCTAGGGAGCTCGCCCGTAAGAAAGAAATGATCGAAGGCTTTCAAAAAATAAACCTTAATAATATCCCAACCTTTCTTGAAGAATTCGATGGTAAAACCATCAGGACCCGGCGCCTTATCACCCCTGCAATCCGACACAACTCTCCAGATCTCCTCCAATGTAAAGGGCCTTGTCAGTTATAATTATCATGTGATGTAATCAACTCGGCCCTATAACCAGTGGGAAAAGGTCGAGACTTACAAGTTTCCCGAAATCTACTCCGGAAGTGTTGGATAAAGGCTCTCTGAAGTTCATCCTTTCCCTTTGTGAATTCCCCATTGACCCTGATATGATGAATGTGATTTTTCCTTTTGTTGTTCAAGGCGACTCGATGGAAAAAAGGAATATTTTTATCACCAACTCTAAGCCAAAGCTCCTTGGATTTTTGCCGCCAGGAGATTTCTTCCAAGATGAGTGTTTTTTCTAGGTCACACTTCAACAAACTCCTCTTGACCAGAAGTTGCTCCCAATTGTCTAGTTGTTCCTGTTGTTCCTCAAGGTTGTCAATGATGCGGATTCTCGCCATCAAATTCGAAATCTTCCTATCAACTCTGCCAAAGACCTCAACATTCCACTTTTTAATTAGGCACTTCATGTTTCTCAGCCTTTCCCCAAATCGAAAAACTTCCCCTACTCCCGAAACTGGAACACACCACCATCCGACGAGACTCGCCAAAAAACTCTCCTCCTACAGCCACATATTTTTGAATTTCCAAGGTCTGTGGATTCTATTTTCGTCGCCCCACCGGAGAAGGATGGGATTATGGTTGGATTCAACTATATCCAGCGCCACAATGGAATGCGGGGCAAAGCAAACATCAAAGCTATGGTTAATAAAGGCTCTGTCGATTCTAGAGAAAGAACCAGAAGTACCCCCTCTACTCCAAGTGAACCTAGCTCCTGTTAATGGAATTTTCAACATACCACAGCTACTAATGACATTATTGAACTCAACCATGAGCTCAGAGTCCCGCAGCTGACCCTGAAAATCTTCGCCAGTATGAACCAAATTAAAGTCACCAATAATGCATAGCGAATTAGTGTAAGCTTGGCAAACCAACTGGAGTTCCTGCAAGAATGGAAGTTTAGCCTCTTTGGTCTGGGGTCCATACACACCCAACATTGCAAAGGTTTCACTGCTGCCCTCCGACTGGAATTTTGTAGCCAAAGAAAAGGATCCTTCCCAAACCGTTATTAGCTTGTGTCTACGCCCATCCCAATACATAGCAATGCCCCCCCCCCCCCCCACAAATTTCTAGCATTCTTGGCAATCCAACAAGAATCCCTTAAGCCACTAACTGAACTAATCTTCCTCTGATTGCAAATACTCCATTTGGTCTCTATCAACACAACCACATTTGACTTCCACCTTCTTAAAATTCTTTTAATTTTTTAGCGTTTGATACTCTGTCCCAACCCTCGAACATTCCACGCAATAATTGACTAATTCATTGGGAACTTGGTTGCGGGGCATACCTGCTTCTTCTGGTTCTCAACGGTGGGTGTTAAACAACTATACCTTATCCCATTTCTACTATTGTTTGACTCAAGTTATTCACACTAGTAAAGCTGAAGAACAATCATAAATGAAGAGATGACATACAGTTTCACCAGATAGAGGGAAACTCGAAGTAAAGGGAAGGACAAGCAAAAGAGAGACAAAAAGCAGAGCTCTATGCCCAGATTGAGTAGAATTCCTGGCAACAGCCCCAACTCTACCAATCCAGACACTTCAACAAGAACCCAATCCAACTCTCCCTAGGAACTAACAAGTTCTTCCTGAGCAGTGGAAACCGTTGCCATCTTCTTCCTCGAGTGGTCTTTAAATAGGCTTTTGACGCGCATCTTGATCTCTCTCTTCTTCAATGAGATGACCGTTTGGCAGAGGTATTTGAAGGAGGGATTAGCGATGGCAATTATCTGGGAAGTAGGTTCTTATTCGATGATTTGATTTAGGGATTGTAATGAAGGCGAAGACGCCTTTGGTAGTCTCGACTTTGACCGAGGAGCTGCTTTGGGCTTCAAGGAAGCGGCTTTGGTTTGTTCAGTCGAGATGACCATGGGCCAAGGCCCAACAATCTCCCCCTGCGTTCAAGCTTTCATTCCTGTCAACAGTCAAGGCAAAATCAAAGCATCGAGTGTGCAGTTCTTCTTATAAGCCAGATAATTTCAATAACATGAAGGACACCAATCTTAACATATAAACCAGACTGTTTTTCAAGCTTCCATATCAAGAATGAAGTCAACTAAACATATTTATTAAACTTGGACCTTTATGGTCTTTTATTCTGGAATACTTATCAAGGTCTCCTTACTCAGACCTTTATGGTCTTTGAACCATTTCAAAATAGCACATCAGAACAGATAGACACCACACTTAGACCATCGAGGTGAGCATCAGCATTTCAAACAATGGAGCCAAAAAGGAGTTGTGAATAGTCGATTTTTCTACCAGTCAGAGCATTTGAAAGGACCCAGAGGTCAAGTTTGGTAACAATGTGAAGCCCATGGGATCGAGGAGGAAAGAAGTGAGTGATAAAATAGTGGAGAGTGCGAAGTATGGGGTTTAGATCATTAGAAGTGATGACTTCATTAGCACCTACTAGTCGCTGAGTAATGCGAGAGTATTCTATCTCATGATCAAAGTCATAAAAAAGGAATTCATCTTCATGAGCTAGAGGAAGAGGTCCTCCAATTGGAAGATTTAGTAGAATACCAATTGCCTCAGCAGTGAGTGAGATAAAGTATCAATTCACGAGAGTGGTTAATTTTCTGGTGGTGATGCCTTGACAATCAAGGTTTGCATAGAAGGTTCTGACAGGTAAGGGACAAGCAGCAAGGGGTGGATAATGGAGAAGGAATTCCCATCCCAGATTCCTAATGAAGGGTGTAATGTCTATCCCAGAGGCATTGAATTCATAGAGGTCAAGTGAGATGGGATCAGAAAGTCGGCGGGAAGCAAAGAATTCCTTGAATCTATGATGGTTGAATTCAATGGGCTCATTGAAGGTTCTCCCAACATAGGTAACAATTGCACCAGGAATGTTGGAAGAGGTGAATAGCTCAGTCATGGTGATTGTTAGGAGTAGCAGAGCAAGATATGGGCGGAGAACATAGGGAGTTTATATAGGTATTAAGGGGGAAGAATACTAAGAGTTATCAGCAATTATTTAGGAGGAACCTAAGTGCAGCAGTCAACTATTAAATAATTTTTCAATGCATAGGGAAATTAAACATCATGTTCATGAATAATCACGCAACAGAACAGAAAATCTAGTATAAATGAGACATTTATTGGAATTTGAAAGAGAACAAGGAAAGATAGAACCTGGTTTAATGCCCATTCTGAATCGAGTGCAGAGGCTGTAGCCCAAGTTCATCGCAGAGTTTAATAAATCTTTCAGAAGACAGAGCCTTTGTGAAAATGTCAGCAATTTGAAATTCAGTGGATATGAAATTTATTTCTAACGAGCCAGCTTGAACTATATCTCTAATGAAATGATGTTTGACTTCAATGTGTTTGGTTCTGCTATGGTGAACTGGATTTTTAGACATAAAAATGGCACTGGTATTGTCACACATGACAGGGATTTTATCAAAACAAAGACCATAGTCAGCTAGTTGAGATTTTAACCACAGGATTTGTGTGCAACAACTGCCAGTAGCAACATATTCTGCTTCTGCTGTTGACAGGGCACAGATCCTTGTTTTTTACTTGACCAAGACACTAAAGACCCCCCAAAAAATTGACAAGCACCACTGGTACTCTTTCTATCAGTGATGCTACCAGCAAAGTCTGAATCTGAGTATCCAATTAAAGACAAACCATCAGATTTAGGATACCATAATCCAAGATCATGAGTGCTTTTTAGATATCTAAAAATTCTTTTTACGGCAACCATGTGACTTTCTTTAGGTTGACTCTGGAATCTAGCGCACAGACAAACACTGAACTGAATATCAGGTCTACTAGCTGTAAGATACAACAGAGAACCAATCATCCCTCTATACCTTTTTTCACAAACAGGTTTGCCCTTCAATATCATGATCAAGATGAGAATTTGAAGCAATAGGTGTTTTACATGGCTGACATTCATCAAGTTGAATTTGGTTAGCATAGATTGTAGGTATTTAATTTGAGGAATGAAAATTCCAGTATTAGTTTGATGGATTTGTAGACCAAGAAAGAAGGTTAATTCACCCATGAGACTCATTTCAAACTGGTTTTTCATGGTAGAGCAGAATTCATCACACATATTGGGGTCAGTGCTGCCAAAGACAATATCATCTACATACACCTGGACTATCAAGGAATGATCATTTTTCTTTTTAATGAAAAGAGTTTTGTCAACTCCTCCTTGACAGAACCCTTGAGTTATGAGAAAGGATGTCAACTTTTCATACCAAGCCCTGGGGGCTTGTTTGAGACCATAAAGATCTTTGAAAGCTTAAAAAAGTTGTCTGGAAATTCAAAATCAATGAAACCAGGAGGCTGTTCAACAAACACTTCTTCCTTAATTTCACCATTCAGGAATGCACTTTTTACATCCATTTGATAGAGTTTAAAGTTCATAAGACTTGCATAAGCACAAAGTAGTCTGATTGACTCAAGCCTAGCTACAGGGGCAAAGGTTTCCTCATAATTAATTCCCTCCTCTTGACTATACCCTTGGGCAACAAGGCGGGCTTTGTTCTTAATGATAAAGCCTAATTCATCATATTTATTCCTAAATATCCACTTAGTTCCTATGACAGATATGTTTACAGGTCTAGGAACAAGTTCCTAGACCTTTAGTCCGATAAAATGAGATAATTCTTCTTGCATGGCAAGTAACCATTCTTCATCTAGTATGGCTTCCTTATAGTTTTTTGGTTCGAGTAAGGAAACAAAGGCATACTGACCTGGGGTGTACTTACCTCTGGTTGTGGATGGGATCTGATATATTACCTATAATTTGAGAAGGAGGGTGCCTTCTTCTGATGTGAGCAGGGGGCTTCAGGATTCACAGAGGAATCGGTTTCAGAAGATGCAACTGGAGGGGCAGAATCCTCTTTGTTGGAGGTTTCTCCTGTCTCAAGATAAGAGCTAAGAGGAAGAAAGTCATAGTTGCTTATATCTGAATGCAAGGGTAGTGATGGATGAGATGAGTCAAACTTAATTTGAATTGACTCTTCCACTTTCCTTGACTTCTTATTAAAGACTCTATATGCTTGACCTTTACTGGAATAACCAAGAAAGATACCAATCTCAGACTTGGCGTCAAACTTTCCAATTTGATCCTTAGTGTTCAGAATGTAGCACTTGGTTCCAAATGGATGAAAGTAGGATAACTTAGGTATTTTTCCTTTTAATATTTCATAGGGAGTCTTATTAATAATCTTTCTAATGGTGGTTCGATTAAGCACATACCAAGCAGTGTTTACTGCCTCTGCCCAGAGAAACTTAGGGCAATCAAAATCAAGAAGCATAGTTCTGGCATATTCAATAAGGGATCTATTTTTCCTCTCCACAACCCCATTCTGTTGTGGGGTTCTGGGTGCAGAGAAGGTGTGAATGATACCATGGTGGTCACAGAAACAACAAAAGTTATCATTGATAAATTCACCACCATCATCACTTCTAATGCTTTTGACAAGACATCCAAATTGGTTTTGCGTAAGAATCACAAATGTTTTGAACTTAGAGAAGGCTTCATCTTTGGAAGATAGAAAGTAAACCCAGGTGAATCTGGAAAAATCATCAACAATTGCTAGCACATATGATTTTCCTCCAAGACTTTGAACATTTGTTGGTCCAAATGAGTCCATGTGTATTAGATCAAAGGTAGCAGAGGTGGTAACTTCCAGTTTACTTTTAAATGATTTCTTGCAATGTTTTCCTAAGATGCATGCTTCACAAGTGAAATTATCAATTGCCTTAATTTGAGGCCGTCCTCTAACCAGATTGAGCTTAGTGAGTTTACTCAATCGAGATAAACTCATATGCCCTAGTTTCTATGCCAGATGATAGCTGGACCAGACATAGAGCTCAAACATATATCCTCTGATAAATCAAGAGTGGATAAATCAACAGTGTACACATTATTAATTTTCTTTCCTTTAAAAATCACAGCATTGTCATAGATTCGTTCAATGATGCAGCAGAAAGGATCAAATATGACTCGATAAGTGGACCCACATATTTGACTAATGGAGAGAAAATTATGCTTTAAACTTTCTACATAAAGTACATCTTCAATAATAAGTGAAGAATTACTACAAATAGTGCCTTTACCAACTACAGAAGCACATTTATTATTGCCATAGAATACTTTACCTCCTCTTTTTGGGTTAAGAAAAGAGAAAAGAGCTTTGTTACCAGTCATATGATGCGAGCATCCAGAATCTAAGTACCAGATGTTAGCACCTTTATTATTCTGATCATTTGCATTGTCATCCTCAATGTTGGAGTTCAACCCCATGTAGGCAACATTATCAACCTCTTCTTCTGAGCTGTAGTCACTCCAGGTAGCTGTCATAGCCTTTTCCTTCTTTTTGTTTAGGGGGCAGTTGACCCTAATGTGACCTGTTTTTCCACATTTAAAACAAATAGTTGAGTGAGATTTGATTTCAGTAGAACTTTTGACATCTTTAGGACTAGTATCATGTCTGTTAGTTGCAAATGAGTTTTTGTCATTTGAACTTCCAGAGTGATGTCCAAAGTTTCTAGGGGAGTGATTGAGCATGTTTCTAGATGGTCTGAAAGAATAGCTATTGCTTTGACTTCCCCTTTTTGCATTTTGATCATGTTTGAATTTCATCATTCTTTGGAGTTTTTTGCTGGTGAGAGCAAGTTCATTTTCAAACTCCTCATCCATTTTCTGTCCTTCATTACCACACACAGAAGTAAAGGCTATAGATTTGTTCTTTCTGTCATGAAGAGAGTTCATTTGCTTCAGAACTTCCTCATGACTAAGGAGGGATCCTATCAAGTTTTCTAAGGACAGAATGTTTAGATCTTTAGCTTCCTCTATAGCAGTTCTCTTGGCCATCCATTCAAGGGGAAGAGATCTAAGGACTTTTCTTACTAGTTCTTTGCTAGAGAAGGTTTTTCCTAGCCCTTTGAGTCGATTTACCAAACTAGAAAATCTTTTGTCCATTTCAGAGATAGATTCTCCTGATAAAATGTCAAAGGTTTCATATTCTTTTAGTAGTAGATCAATTCTAGTTTCTTTTACTTCTGAAGTTCCTTCATGAGTGGTTTCTAGAATTGTCCAAATTTCTTTAGCAGTTTCGCATTTGTTGACTCTTTCACCTTCATCATCTGATATAGCAGACAACAGAATGTGCATAGCCCTAGAATCTAATTGAGCACTTTTCTTTTGTTCATTTGACCAATCCTCCTCATTGTCTTCTTTCATGTCAATTGGTCCATTGCGGACAATTGCCCATAATTCACAGTCGATTCCTCGGAGGTATAGTCTCATTCGTTTCTTCCATACAGAATAATTTGACCCAGAGAACCAGGGAGGATTTGAACTAGTAGGAAATGAGTTAGAAGACATAGCAAGGCAGAGGATCTCCTTCTCGGCAACACTAAGTTCCACGAAAAGGGGGCTCTGATACCAATTGTTAAACAGCTATGCCTTATCCCATTTCTACTAGAGGGAAACTCGAAGTAAAGGGAGACAACAAGCAAAAGAGAGACAACAAGCAGAGCTCTATGCCCAGATTGAGTAGAGTTCTTGGCAACAGCCCCAACTCTACCACTCCAGACACTTAAACAAGAACCCAATCCAACTCTCCCTAGGAACTAACCAGTTCTTCCTGAGCAGTGGAAACCGTTGCCACCTTCTTCATCGAGTGGTCTTTAAATAGGCTTTTGACGCGCATCTTGATCTCTCTCTTCTTCAATGAGATGACCGTTTGGCAGAGGTATTTGAAGGAGGGATTGGCGATGGCAATTATCTGGGAGTAGGTTCTTCTTCGATGATTTGATTTAGGGATTGGAATGAAGGCGAAGACGCCTTTGGTAGTCTCGACTTTGACCGTGGAGCTGCTTTGGGCTTCAAGGAAGCGGCTTTGGTTTGTTCAGTCGAGATGACCATGGGCCAGTGCCCAACAGTGGGTTCGCAACGTCATCTTGTAATCCCAGACGGTGTCTCTCCATTTCAAGTTTCGACCTCTTTTCCCTTCTTTTAGTGTATCTAATATCTGAGCCGCTTCCTCAATCTGCTGAGATGTCGTTTTACTCGAACCATCAGTTTGTAACCGGAATAACTGGCAAACATGGTTACACATCTTCAACAATTATTCAGGTCACTCCTGAATTGCCAATTCTCAAGATCCACAGAAAGGGACTGAAAAGGAACAATGGCTAGACTAATGGAGCTGCTGCAGGCTTTCAGGTTTTTTGATCAGAATAGGGCTGGGTTTGTTAGGGTAGAAGACATGAGGGTAATCATCCATACTCTGGGGAAGGAACTTGTTCAAAATGCATTGCTAGAAAGCAACACCGGGAGGGATGACAAGATCCTTTATCCCAAGCTGGTGAAGATGAACCTGTCTTAGAGACAAGATATGGAAGTGCTTTCTGGAGCACTGTAAACTTATAACAGTTTCTTTCTGGGACTGTTAGCCAGCCAGAACCTCCACATTTTTTGACGAGCTTGTTTATTAGATAGATGCAATACAGACGTGAGATTGATTGATATTTGATACAGCAAGCGAGGTAGATAATATTCATACCTCCTATCTATTGAAAACATCCATTATTGCTTTTAGCAACTGTTGTTTTGCCAGCATTACATTTGATGATGAATTGAAAGAAAGCTATCTCCCATAGCTACTTACTCCAGCAAGTGTCCGATTTCGGCTGGAAGGTTTGCTTACAGTTCGGTTTATATCTTCCTTGTGCGACTATCACCTAAACGGTGACTCTTGATCTTGCTCCTCAAGATTTTGGATCTAATTGCTCCTGTTTTTCTATTATTGTTTGGTTGCATTTAGGTTTCAGTTCAGTTTGATGGCGGACAATTTCGATTGAGCAGGGTGGAACTGGGCCTGCAATACCGGACAAGACAGAGTAAGTTCCTAGATGCTTCAGTGGATGGTGAAGTGAACTGCAAAACAATGATACGTCGTCCTTCATTAGTTAGAAGTATGGATTGAACTTGCGGGATGTGCAAGGTATGTGATCTCTTTGGACTTTGTGGGAACTATTATTCTCCTTCTTTGAGTAATTAGAGGTTTCAGAAGGACCTTACTAGACTTACATTTTGACCTGCAGGTGTGATCACAAGAGTAAAAAGAGTGCATGAACTTGACCAGTAGACATAGTTTGGGAAGATAACAAAAAGCATTTATTTGTTGTAAATCAGGATGCTAATTTGAGGAAGAAATTCCAACAGGTTTAAGAGTAATTCTTGTTGTATTTCAATGGACAGATTAACCAAACTGTTCTACATACACACCATATAGGATTAATTGAAAGGCATTTATGATTTGTAGCAAAGGCAGTCTAATTGTTCTACATACAAACCATATAGGATTTACTTGAAAGGCATTTATGATTTGTAGCAAAGGCAGTCTTTAGATTTCAGTATGTAAGCTGACTTGCACATCCTACTGATGAGGATCTTGATGTCTTCAATCTATTAGTTTTCCTTTAGTTGCCTTTGGTTCTGTGGTTTATTTTGAAGCTAAAATGACCACTCTTGCTTAGGATGTTCAGTTTTGTTTCCATAATCTCAATTTCCCTTCAACTTTACAAATTAAGGAGCACTAGTGTATGCATCCACAATGATCTGTGTATTGACCCCAAGGGAATAGATTTAAATATGATCTACATTAATTAATGAATGCTTGCTACTTTGTGATATCTATCACCCTTACATGTATATAGTTTGCTACTCACGGTTGTCTATGGGCAGTGCATTGAAGAATAAGGATTTTTGTTTATTAGTTGTGTATTTATTTGATCTTATGATTCTGGAACTTATGTATTCTTTCGAGTACATGGAGGGCACATGGTCAGATTATTCCCCTCCATCTATTTGGTGATCTTTCAAGAGAAGTATCCCAATTTTGGTAAACTAGAAAATATTTCTTTGTTAGTTGGTTCTCTTTAGTTTGTTGATTTGGACACTCGGATGCAGTAAAGACTTGGCAGTTGCACCTCAAGATTTGGGAGCAATGGCGCTTTCCTCTCTAAAGCAATGTTCTCCCACAAACCCTTCTCCACATCTTAATTTATGGCCATTCATTTGTTTAATAATGTACCTTCATGTTTTTTAATTGCAAAATAGTGATTGGTGAGTTTGTTTTAGATAGGTATAATAGGTTAATAACTAATCATTAAAAAATAATAATTCAATTATTTGGACCGAACAAGCCGTAACCCGAGTAATCCGCAATCCGATCCACCCGAACCCGATTGACATGCAATCTGATTAACCCACACCCCTGTTGATCCGCAACCCGACTGAACCGACCCCGATTGACCCACAACCCGATTGACCCGCAACCCAATTGACCCGTAACCCGATCAACTTGAACCTGCTTGACCCGCAACCCGATTAATCCGCGACCCGATTGAACCCGACCCGAACCCGTCCGATTGACACCTATAATGGTGAGTAACTACCTCTATTTCATTTTTTTTTTTTTTCTACTTTTAGGGTGTTAGGTGATGCTCAAACTTTGATTTATTTTTTATGGATTCATCGGCTGCAAGAACATCTCGACGATGAACTTGCCAGAGAAGGGTTGTCCACTGACTAGTTTAGATGGTGGTTTTATGCACTGTGTTACTTAAGAAAGTCAATTTTTACCTACCCAGGTTTGTGTTTATTCTTTCTTTCCTTTCTGGGTTTTGGTTTATACTCAAACTTGATTTCCTTAATGGATTTATTTCAATGGATACGGTGAGGCACTTCATGCAGATCGATATTGGCAACGATCTGCTGGCGACAATGGCAGAGCGATGGCGCCCCGAAACATACATGTTCCACTATCTCGAGGGGGAAATGACGATCACCCTCAGAGATGTTGTCATCCTCACTGGGTTGTCGGTCACTAGAGAGGCCATCATCGGCCACTCGAGAAAACCTGAAGAAGGTTGGGGCCACTGATTCTCTAGTGTATGGTGTTCAACATGCTGCTCCAGACTGAAGTCAAAGGACATGGGCATCCACCGCTGAATGTGTGGCAATTATTGATCTCGTGGCTCGTTGATCGCATCCAAAATGCGTTTCATATCGGCCCAAACACCCCAAAGATCAAGTGGAGCGGTATACACGCTTTACCTCATTGGCTTGGTTGGTGAATTTATGTTCTCCGACAAGGCAAACAGGTGGATACAAGGCATGTGGTTGTCGTTGCTCCTCGGTGATTGGGACACGATCGAGAGAAAGAGTTAGTGGTCGGTCGTGTTAGCTGGGGTATACCGGGAACTGTGTACTTGCTTGAAGTTGAAAGGGAAACAAGCTAGTGTTGCGATGTTCATCCTTAAGCTCTGGGCATGAGAGCATGTACCGATGTTCGCACCTCGAGACCTGCAAAAATTCTGGGCGCCTAATGCGGAGCTACGAGCTGTAGCAATCCCCCCTATGGTGTCAAGTAAGTTTAATTTACTTGCAACTTTGTATTTACATTTATGTACTTAGATTTTATTATAAGCTAAACTTTATTACATTTATATTACATGCTTAGTAGGCCTTTTATATTTGATTATAAGCTAAAATGTACGACATGCTTAACTTTATTTAATTTAGATTTATTCCAAGTATGCAATCCTATATAATTTAGATTTATTACTTCAATTGATTAAGTGCTTAAGAAATTCTTACATGCTTAGCCTCTATGCTTTAAAAAGTTCTTATATGTGTACTTTTACTTACAAGGTGGATTAGAGCAAATACAAATGACCACCAACCAAAGCACTCTTTACTGTTTTAACATGTTGAGTGTGATGTGATAAGCCTTGGTAGAACCAGGTAAAAATGACAATTGAATATTTTAACTTTATAAAATATAGTGGATGTGATTGGTACTAATTTCAACTTATTAATGTGTATAGGTGACATGTGACCCATATCCCCAGTTGCCACATACAACCCTCTGCAGCATTCTTGCATATGACATGTAGTTCTTTGCTGTCAGAATATTTTACCCTCCACTCGAAATTCCACCGCATGACTTCTTCGCTAAAGGCATCTTGAACAGCGTCCTTCGAACTGAACGCCATACCCACCCCCAAACCAACAGGTCTTCTGTCCAACTGTATCAAGCTCACCATTTCTACCACGGAAGAAAACAAACTTAGGGCAGCAAGCCGCATTTTTTAGGTGGCAGGACGCAGGATCAGCACGGGAAAAAAATGCAATCCAACAAGAGAAAGCTATGAAAGAGATTCAAACGTTCAGAGTGATTACCACTTAAAATCCCATCCGTACATTATAAAACTCACAACACCACAGATTTCCAAGTCTTCATGACAACAAAATTTGATTCAGCATGTCAAAAGGAACCAAAACCTCAATGACACCAAGTTCTGATGGACACAAACTTACTAAGTATTATAAACACCACAATAACAAGCCATCAGAAAACCTGTCCCAAACCAGAAGGGTAAGATCTCAACGAAGCCTCCTGGCCTCTCTCTCAGACTCGAGCAAGGTGAGGATGTCGCCTTCTCTCACTGGACCCTTGACATTCCTCATGATGAAGCGGTTGGGGTCGTCCATGAACTTGACTCTGACCTGAGTCACCTGCCCCCTGGATCCAGTACGGCCCATCACCTTCACAACCAAAGCGTGCTTGGTCTGAGAGTCCATCCTGCTGCACAAGTTACAAAATGGTAGTAGAGTTAAAGAGGATACCACTGCGTGAAGAGTTATTAACACAGGATGATGATATTTGCAGGACATCAGCTATCAATAGGCACCATAGTGTTGGATCTATGCTACCAATGTCAAAAGCAGCAAATTCAATTGGCTCAACAGATGAAACAAACTTAAATGACAAGCTTAAGTGCGGTAGACAGTCTAACACAATTGGTGTATTACAAATCGCAAAGCATGATGATCATAGTTACAGATGCCACCATCATAACTAAATTCATCATATGAAATTAGCAAGCCCTAGTTTTCTAGTTTAAGTAACTCAACTCATAGTTATCGCAAACTAAACTCAAATTGGGGAATAAACATCAGCTAAGACCATAATCCAACAACTAACAGAATAGTGCAAATCGCACCCAAAGACAATTAGAAACCAACTCCTCAGTGAAAGCGACCGTAATCCAACCACCATCAGATTCGTTCAAATCCGAGCACAAACAATATGTCCATATAAAATCGATTCCTGGAAGGCGAACACGAAATCCGGAGTTTTACAAGCAATCATCAAACATCACTCAGCAAAAACCTATCGATCGGTCTCTCTACAGGTTTCATCATCAGACAACCAACCAACAGACAAGTCGAAGTAAAAACACCCCTCAGCAACACAGAGATTCAGGATCCACCATAGCCACAACAAGAATGAAGAAATGGATCGGTGGACGTTGGAAGCTTGAACAGGGATATAAAAAGGAACATGAGTGGAAAGAAGCAAACCAGAGCTTCAAGAAAGAACGAACCTTCCGAAGCTTAGAGGAGAGTCAACGAAGAAGAGAAAGGATACCGGCTGCGGCTGAGGCTGCTAGGTTTCGCACGCAGATGTTGGAGGAGGCAGGCGAATGAGTCTTTGGGGTTTTTGTAAGGAGGAGGATGAAGGATCCTCAAATTACCTTTCGCCCGAGAATAGACGTTACAAGAGTGGGGGTAGTATGGTAATTGGCACCGATCTGGCTGGAGGTTGGTTTACCTAATCTTCTCGGCCCATGAGTTTGTTTGGCCCATGTTCGTAATTATTAGCCTAATTACTCCTGGCCTCGCGTCGCCCGCCAGTTCACATGCGCTTATTGTCGGGTTTAAAAAGTTCTAAACTCTTTATTTTGTTGAATTAGCGAAGTAGGATTGTTATTCACCGTATCTACTTTTTACTAATTGTCGTCCTAATTTGATATAAAAAGACACATGTACCCTTAATAAAAAAAAATTCTCTTCTCCTTTCCTTTTCAGTTCACTAGCGGTGGACAACGGGGCGGGATTGGGTACCCGTCCCGTTTGAAACGGGTATCCAATCTCATTTGGAGGGAAATTTTCATCTCATATCCCAAACCCGTATGGGTTAACGTTTATCAATATTTCTTTAAACAACGACAAGACCGTCAATCTCGTGGAGAGCTACATTACCATCGTCGGCCATTAGAATAAGCCGAATCACATCCAATACCTTGTCAATGTTCTCCTTTGTTAATGGTAATACCAATGTTGTCAAAAGCGAATCGGAGTATGACGCGATAATGTGAACAGTTCGGTCTTTAGCGGTCCAACCAGCATTAAACCGTTTAAAAACTAGAGGTGTCAATCGGGCGGGTTAGGATGGGTTCGGGCTAGGTTCATTCGGGTTGTGGGTTGGTCGGGTTGCGGGTCGATCGGGTTGCGGGTTTATCGGGGTCGGGTTGATCAGGTTGCGGGCTACTCGGGTTACAGGTCACTCGGGTTGCGGGTCAATCGAGTTACGGGTCAATCGGGTTGCGGGCCAATCGGGCTGCGAGCCAATCGGGTTATGGGTCAATTGGGTGCGGGTTAATCGGGTTGCGGGTCGGGCGGTTAGGGTTGCGGGCTTTACGGACTAGAACATCGCGTTAGTTTTTAGTGATTACTAGTAAGTCGTAAATCGTAACTATATGAAGCTAGCACAATACTTGTAAAAAAAAAGGAATCACAACTCAAAGTTATAAGATTAGTGTCAATAAAACAAATATCAACACAATTGAAAATAATCTTTCTTGTAGCATGAGCACCAGTAGACCTGGCAATCGGGTCGGGTTGGGTAATTTTGGGTTGTGGACTTCGGTTACGGGTCGGGTCATGTTTGGTTGGCTGATTTCTGGTCAAATATTAACCCAACCCATTCAGTTTTGGGTCGGGTTACAGGTCATTTCGGGTTACAAGCGTTCTCAGAAACAATATCAAACATGCTTCATATTTTCTTAAAGAATACAAATTTTCACATATGCATGACAATAGTTTACCTAACACATGTCAATTAACATATTCTCAAATCCTCCCACGCTAATGAAATGAAATACAAATTGCGCAAATCTTCAAAAAACAATCACAAGAGTAATACTACTACAAGAAACACATGATATTTGATTATCCTTAAACTCCAAACATGTCATTCAAATCTTGTGATTTTTTTAAACATCTCACCAATTTATGAGTGATTTTATCATATTTTAGGAGTGATATATGAAATGGAACGGGTCTAACGGGTCGACCCGCTAACCCACCCAACCCGACCCAAAAACTTACGGGTTATCGGGTTCGGGTCATTCGGATTTCGGGTTACAAAAATTTCTAGTTTTCGGGCGGTTTCGGGTCGGGTCAACGGGTCAGGTTGTAATTTGCCAGGTCTAAACACCAGCCAAATTGAAATCATCTAGAATTATCCAAATCATCATGTTGATACAAGATTTCTAAACTAGCTCAAATACCAATAAACTCTCAAATCTTCAAGACCAATCAAATCATCATGATGAGTTGAGGATAGGTACAGGGAAGGGAGAAAGAGCGAGGGTGTGTTTGGAATTTGGAGGCTTGCCGGCCAAAATTTTTGAGAGCTAAGGTTTTTCCTTTTTTGCGCTTTGTGGCCAAATTTTTTGAAAAGAGACAGCTACTTTGCCGCTGGAGCAAATAATAACTTGGAGCCAATTCTACCAAAAATGAAAATTTTGGAGCCAAATACCAAAGAATATTTGAAACCAAAGTCCCTTTTGCGCTTGGCGGCCCAAATTTTAGAAAAGAGGCGGTTACGTTGTCGCTGGAGCTAATGAAAATTTGGAGCCCATTCTAACAAAAATGAAAATTTTGGAACCAAAATACATCTTAAGCAAAAATAATTTATCCCTCATAAAATTGAAAGAAATAATTTATAAAGAAATTCTTAACAGTTCACACGAATTACCATGACTAAGTATTAATCACGGGAAATGAAGACTAAAAAACTGATAAATAATTCCCTGTGATTAGAAACATACAACTAAATAGATGAAATTTTCCCGTGGTTATTAATGTACTTTCTAATACGGGAAAAATTACCGTGAATAAGATACCGTGTTTAGAAACCTGTTTTTCCTGTAGTGCAATATGAACTATTATGAGTCATGTATTCTTGTTATGATCAAACTTTTGTGAACTATTATTAGTCTTTTTTATGACAGGACCATGATATTTGGATTTTAAATCTTATAATTATCTTAATATGCTAAATTAATATTTTATAATGTTATATGCACTATTAGGTTGATGATGTATCTAAATAAATATTTGATGATATTATATGCGTTAATAGGTTGATGATGTATATTATTATACTAAGTCAATAATTGATGATGTAATGATCAGACTTTAGTGAACTAGAATTTCAAATGTCAACTTTTGGTTTATCTTCATCGAATTCCTTCTATTATAGTCGGGCTGCGGGTTGGTCAGGTTACGGGTTCGGGTTAGTCGGGTTGCGGGTTGGTCGGGTTGCGGGTCGAGCGGGTTACGGGTCATTGACTTTTAGTCAAATCGGGTTACGGGCGGGTTGCGGGTCGGGTTGATCGGGCGGGTTACTCGGGTCGGGTTGATCGGGCGGGTTACTCGGGTCGGATTACATTTTGACAGCTCTATTAAAAACCATTAGAAAGCCGGTACCTAATAAATAATCGGTATAAATAGTGGACACTTATTAATCATGGTAAACCATGACTAAATTAGTAAATTACACTCTTTGCCCGACCATCTTGCATGGTTGAAGCAGTAGAGCTCGGTGTTGTTAATTAGGTAGCACTATCTGGATTTGGAGTACTCATCTACAAAAGAAAACCAAATAAATATTCAGATTTTCCCTATTCTCTACCAAGCAAATGCAAATAAACATTGAAATCAAAATAATGCAAACCCAATATTTAAATTACAATCAACTCGAAATTAACTTACCTCGAGCAGGAGGTGAAACGACTGGTGGGAGATGTTGCGGACTCTGGAGGTGAGACGGCCAGAGCAGGGCAGTGGTTGGTGGAAATGTTGCGCAGGTGAGACGGTCGGAGCAGGGCAGGGCTCGGATACAATCCAAGCCTCTAGTGAGACAGGGCAACGGAGCAGCTACGGAAAGAGGGGACTGGCCGACTGGGGATGGGGAGCCGGGAGCGGTTTCAAGGACTAGGGATGCCGATGATGG